AGTTTAAGGTACCTGTGCCGGCTACAGGTGAACTACAGACATTCATTGATTACAGATGCACCATTGACTCTCAACGCAATCCATGTTATCCCAACGGTGACACTGTCTTTGTCCGCAAGCCTGGTGCCAAAGTTATCAACTTTGCTCATATTGCCTTCACCCATACCTAGAAGTCCCATGGTTCCAAGAAGGGCCCCTGGAAAACAATCTGGTACATGTGTCTTGGTGTATTACAATGTGATGATGATTTTTACAATTCTGCTGGGCCACCACCTACAGCTGAAGGGAAAGCAACAGATTTCATTATCAAGTAAGTTTTCCTTAGTATTATCATTTCTCTCTCAATTTCCTTCTTGTTCTTCTCCGGTCCATCTGGATTTACTCATGGGCACCTGAACAATTGATCTGTTTCTGATTACTACCAGACATCCTGTCTGCCCTGCTGTAGAATGTAGTGGAAATCACATCTGGACCAAATGTGAGGAAACTTCCTTTCAAGTAAATATTGAGATGGGAACTGGATGGGCCGTCCTTTGTTACTCTGGGGTTCATAATCATCCTTGGCCAACTTTGAAAAAGGCTGATCTGATGTCAATGATGGAGCTAACGGAAGAGCTGGTGAAAACTCCTAAGGCGGGCCCTTTGGTACTCCAAGTGAGGCAAGATCAACTCCACGTGTAATCAACAAATCCATGTCTCATCACTGATTGTGTTGATTCTTATTGTGGCATACCAGGTGGGCCAGGCTGGCGCTGGTCAAACATCTACCCCTCCAGTAGTCAACATCCATCCGGCCTTTTCCCATGGAGGACACCTAGGTTACTTGTGTCAAAAGGTTTTAGCTGAGAAGAGCCTCATGCCCAAGAAAGAAAGCAAAGGCAGAGGAGACCATCTGATCATAGACCTCATGCACTGGGGCAGGTACGTTGCATTCTATTTCCCTCAACTTTTGGATTACCTCTCTCTCTCTCTCTCCACCTTCTCCCCATACCATCAATTTGATTTTGTTCAATTGTAGAAACGGCCTACATTTGATATCCACTTCCCTTCTAGGAAATGATGTCCACATAACATTTCAGACCAAGTGGATGGCTGATCAACTGGTGTGTCATGACCAAACAGGTAAGATCTATTCGGGCAGGCTCCTATCTGATGCCACCTACCCGTTTTTCAACAACAGATACCTCCTCACTACTTCAATGTATGGTGATGTGATGCACCGTTGGATACCCATCCAACTTACCTGGATGTGCGCCCTTGATGTCAATCATCACCAGCCGCATTTCACTACACTTCTCAAACAGATAACCAAAGCTGAACTCACCTTCCAGAAACATGACCTCTTGGCAATGCAGCCACAGGTACTGTACTAGTAACAGTATTGTACAGTGAAGTACCTATTTGGGACAGTACAGGACCTGGAAGTATTGTACCTTCCTGTCACTCCTGTACCTGAGGCCACTTCAACCCATTTTTTTAAAAGGTAGTCTACCAAGTATTGTACCTGACTGCAGGTACAATACTAGGTACCTGGCCTGGCCAGGAAAAGCAATCAGGTACTATTCCCGGTACCATACCTAATTTGAGGTACTGTACCTGCCAGTACCTACCACTAGGCTGATGACTCACCCCTTGGCCCTTTCCTTGCTTTTAGTACCCAACCCCTTGACACATGATGACACTCAATTTCCCAAACAGGACACTCCTTGCTTTTTGAATAATCATCAGAGTAGGTATATACACACTAATTTTTCAAATATTTCATGGCTTCACTGGGAAGAAGGTACCGTACCTAAAAAGTCATGGTACAGTACAGTACCTGGCGGTATTGTACAGTGACTTCACATTGTCCACAGGTAGTGGTATCATACAGCACCTGTGATGATGGTAGGTACAGTACTAGGCCCAAGTTATATTGTGTTTGTAGCGCTGGGTACTGTAGCAAGTATCATACCTAATTTTAGGTACAATACTATAGTACCATTATTTCTGATACCTAGGTTGAGGTACTGTACTGAGTATCAAAGGTACTGTACCAGTACAGTACCTGTGGCTGTGTTGCTCTTGGTTCAACAAGTGGTCAACTTTTTCTTTGGCCCAGAAGGAAGTATTCAACAAAAGGGACCCTGCTAAAGCTTTGGACAAGCTTAAGGGCTGCCACAAACACTTTTGACAGTCGGTAACTTGCATTAAAAAGAATTGTAACATTGTCAACCAGGAGAGGTTCTGCAGAGCAGAACCCCCATAGATTGAACATAAAATACATAAAATAATGATATACAAAAAACTAAAAACTTACAACTCTATCACTCGAGTTTCAAGAGTGTATTATACATATAAAACAAGGAGCTGAGAAAAACCTATAGACCAGATGATAAAAACGCCGAGTCAAAGAAAACCCTTATGACGTAAAGGTCCTAACCAGCCCTTTAGTTATTCCCACTTCGTTCAGACCAAGTACGAAGTAACCAGGCAGAATGATTCCTATCCAGACCAGGGTTCCATGTTATTAGTAACTTGAAAACCCTGGAAACTACGAAATGAGACACTGACCAAACAGTAGCTCAGTAGAAAGATCCAGATATAAATAAACCAACGTTCGACCTAAAGGGAAAAGAATCATCCGATTATCTTACTTTAAAAACTTTACAACAACTACTTTAAACATACCTTTTACCTTTTCTCCTTTTCGATTGACCTTTCTACAATAGTCTTCCCACTAAACTTGTGCAATTGTTAGCTATCTAGATTTAGAGCTCTTTCAAAACTATTGTACGACTTAGTCATTTCATCGTTTCATCACCTCTTCCTTGAACCAAATCCTTTTACTACCTTTGCTAAAAAGGTTGACCGGGTCGACCGCGAAGGAGAAGAGAAGAGCTGCCAAATTTGGCCGCAGCCTGCTGCGCAGCGCATCCAAATTCCAATTTCGCTCGATTCAAAAAATGATCAGGTTGTCAAAACACTCAACGTGACCTGGTGGTTATGGTAGATACCGAGACTGGTCACGACCGATACTCAGTTGATTTAGATTATGACAAAGTCGCGCCAACAGCTGGCTTTTGCGACTCGTTTCGATTTGATCGATATCTTGCCAAATCCAAGAAACAAAAATTGCTGTGGACCAATAGTATACAGTACCGGCTGCTACAAGCTGTCGATATTGTGTACAGCTGTTGGTGGGTTCAATCCCCATGGTGTTGCCCTTTTGCTGAAATTTTGAAGTAAAATTGAGAAGTACATCTCAGAGATGTGTCAGTGCCATCATTGTTACCTGATGACCCTCTTTGAACTTTTTGGGGGTAAGGAAAAAAAAAGTTTTTAAAAGACTTGTGCTTTTTTTGTATCATGAGGTAGAACCATCCAAGCTCAAAAAAAACATGAAGGCGACTCGAACACACGCCGGGCTGTGCATCACATCTGGGCAGATGTCACGCCTTACTGTTTGCACCAAGAAAGCTTGGATGATATAACGTCCAACACCATGTGATGCCGGTTGCAAGTCGGCTGTCTGCACAATCTCAACGTAATGAGCTTAATACTGATTGTAACTAATCTCAATAGTTGCCATAAGACAGTCACATCAATTTTTTTGACAACTCAATCATTTTTTGAATCGAGCGAAATTGGAATTTGGATGCGCTGCGCAGCAGGCTGCGGCCAAATTTGGCAGCTCTTCTCTTCTCCTTCGCGGTCGACCCGGTCAACCTTTTTAGCAAAGGTAGTATTGTTTTTTCGCTTCACGACTTCTTTAAAGATCGTTTAACTAGGGTTATTCGACTGAAGATCTCGTCTTTATTTTCTTTCTACACCTTTGATCGAACTCAAGTTCCTTCACTACTGCTAAAGCACACCTAAAGCAAGTCTACCTCGGTATTCACTTTAGTAGACGAGTTGGTTAAAAGACTCGTACTTAACTCAAGAAATTAACACTAAACACGAAGAACCGAAGATTACGATATTCTGATCTAGAGAAGACATCTACATTTCGTGAAAGTAAGCTTCAGCCTCTCAACTTCTTACTCATTTAGCTACCGCAGTTATAGTCAGGCTGACATTTGGGGGCCTCATCTCTTTTTTTTACAAAAAGAAGTTTTGATTTTTTTTTTTACTTCAAAACAAAAAACCCAGCAAACCTTTCTTTTTTCCACTTGGACGTTATACGACTAGCACGTTGAGCCGAGTCTTGATTCAAAACAACCTAGAAAACTCTTTTTTCACTATTTCATTTCAAAGTCTAGACCGCTTCTCCCTCGAGTTACTTCAAGAGTTACCATACTCTGAATTTTATCAAGAAAACCCATTTACAGACCAGATTTACGATTCAAACTTTGGAGTACACATCTTACGAGCAAATCATACGTGGTTTAGATCGTTGGAACTCTTGCAGCAAACACCAGTAGAATTACTGTCTAGCGATCTCATTTGATAGTACTGATAGTACCGAAAAAGTTTTTCCGACACTACACAAGAGTGAGTGAAAGCTTCTTCATCTTTATTTTTTTTACGAAAACATACCTATACTAACATTGAGATTATTCGTCTCTTATTCGACTGAAACAGTGCCAATAGATACTGTACAACCTGTCGCAACTTACCAACCAGGTGACGATTTAATTGATTACGAAGAAGAACAGCAAACAGCAGACAATACGAAAGCTGTAGAAGCTACTTCAGGAGGAGCCGAAACTACTCCACGTACAGCTCAGTATCAAGAACTATCTAAGTTCATCATACCAAAAGTAACCAACGACAAACGTTAGTTTTTTCTTTACATTTTTTGAAACAAGAATTTATTAGGCAAACATCACCATACTGATTATGGCACCGAATACTAGATCAAGCTCCAGATCATCCAGTGTCGCAGATTCAGTCGGAGCACTCGGCAATGATCGTGGACGAAGCCAACCCACCATCGGAAGCAGGAAGTCGAGTGGTCAGACCAATACAACTAAAAGGTCCAGGATGAGACCTGACGATGGAAGAGCACGATCTTCTCTTGATGTACGAAGCGAACTATCAAGTATGGAACAAAGCAAGAAAAGCGAGAGATTCCAAGAGTTTCAAGAAAGCAACGATCAAAGCGAAAGGCTTCTATCGCCAACTGCTAAAAATGATAGGACATCAATGCCTGATGGACAACACCAACCAATGGAACCCAGCAATGTGGGATTGGAGCACGTTCGAGAAGCGAGTACCAGGCAAGAGATTCAATCAATCAGTCCCTTACTGTCAGAGTATAAGTCAATTCATCAAACACATCAAACTACATCAATACATTATCAAAATACATTTACATGACAACATTATTAAAATACATTATCTCAAAATTCAATTAACTCAAATACATGACATCAAACCTAATTCATCATACACATGATTCAAACCTAGTTCAAAAAGTATCACATATAAATATGATTTTCACTTCTCCACGTCAGCCTCTTTTCCCTCATCAGTTCACTGAGGAAAAAGAGGCGCGTAAGTGGATTTCTCATACAATTTCTCAAACTCATAAACTCTATTAAAACTTTCTATTTTATTTTACTTTGTTGTACAGACTGCTCCTGTTATCTTACCTTTATAGGTTTGTCATCCATTCTCGTCTTCGGTGTTCAGAGCCGCTAGACTCACACCCGTTTGCTGGTGTTATAAGGTTAGAGATATTAGTTGACTATATGAAATATATTAATCAGTTCACTGAGGAAAAAGAGGCGCACTGCTCCTGTTATCTTACCTTTATAGGTTTGTCATCCATTCTCGTCTTCGGTGTTCAGAGCCGCTAGACTCACACCCGTTTGCTGGTGTTATAAGATCACCATTTCGGTGACTCGAGTTTCTTTAGTTCTTCACACTTACCCTCGTCAAAACTCATCTTACCGACAACAAGGAAAGACAGTAGGGGACGAGATCGTCTCGATAATAGAGGCAGCAGGGATGGCAGTGAAGAATGCGAGAGGACCCTCTTACCATTAGATGAAGAATTACTTCCCTCTGTTTTACATCATCTTGAGTTGTATTTAGAGCCCAATACTAGCAGCGTTGAGGAGATGTGTCGTGAAATACAGAATACCCAGTCACTCGTTAAAACTCGTGACTGTAACAGACGCCTAGATATTATTGATAAAACCATTACTGGGTTTATCGGTAATATCAATGACCAAGTAAAAACTTTAAACCAGGTAGGATCTGCAGTCCAAAAATCTACTGACGACGTGAGTTACCTTAAGAATGACTTGCAACAGTGGACATCGAGTGTTTTGGAAGCTGTAAAGGTTTCGTTAACTAGTGCAATGACCAACTTGACAGCCAATCACAAAAACATGATTGGAGAACAAGTGTTTATAACTCAGTCTATAGCCAAATCAGTGGAAGATATGATACGAACAGCTGAGAATAAACACCTGGAAACAAAAATTCAGCTACCCACTGAGGACCCTTACACTAAGAAAACGTTTGACCAAATCTCCAGTATGCAAGGTGTTATAAGACAACTTCAATCATCAGTGAATCAACAGAACCAGGAACTAGTAGTCATGAAATCCCACAACGAAGAAGTTATCAAACTATTATCCAAATTGACGTTCGACCAACTTAATAAGCAAGGATCACAAGAATCACGCAACAGAGTGAGAATAGAGCCAAACCCACATGAAACTCCACCACACATGAAAGACTCGTTCAGAACAGATTCGCGCCGAGAATACCTAGCACCACCGGAAGAAATTCAATACTACACACCACTTAATGGCAGAGGAGAAGTGTGGACTCAGAGCACTCCAATTGCAAGAGAGAAAAGTAGCAATAAAGAGAACCTGAGTAAAACAGAGAACACTCCAGACATAGATCTTACTCTATATAACCTTCTTAAGAAGGAAGTTCCTATGAGTAAAGAATGGCCTAAGTTTAGTGGGGAGGGCGAATACAATCATATGACATTCATTGAATGGGTGGACCATGTCAAAGAGACAATGCACGTCCCAGATGCTCTTATTACTTCCAGAATGGGTCTGGCGTTTACAGGATTGGCAGAAGTATGGTTCTTAGAGAAAAGACTAGACGGCCCATTCACGTGGGAAGAATGGAAACAAGCTATCATCTCGAAATTTGGTTCCAGAGACTGGAAACGTCGTATGCAAACGGCATTTGACAAAGATCATTTCAATCCAAGAACACATAATGACCCAGTAAAGTGGCTAGTAACTCAGCGTAAACGTCTACAAGCAGCCCAGTCAACAATCACAAAACAAGATGTTATTGACAAAATATTAGAACAATGTCCAGGAGATCTCGACCATGCCATACGCAGTAGGCTGGAAAACGATGACGACTTCGTTAGTTTCACTACGGTATTTGAAGAAGTAGTACGCCGTACTTCCATTGGCCGCAATAAACCTTTTGTCAAAACGACTACAGATTGGAAGACCCAAGCAACGAGTGGCAGCAATGTCCCAGTTAAACAAATACCAACAAAGACCCCTGTGGTGAGAATACCAGGAAAGTGCGACACATGTGGGAGCACAGACACAGGGCACGATTACAGACTCTGTAGACGAAAGAGTAAAAACATTAACCTATTGGATCAAGAAGACGACGAAGTTCTTTCGCCCACTGGAGAAGAATTGGAACTCATCTTTGGGGATGACCATGACTCGTTATACGATGACGGTGAGTACAGAGTCATCCAGGAAGTATCAGCTGAGACTACGAATATCTCGAAGTTAGAAGACACATTCCAAGTTATGGACATTTCATGTCTAGAGGAACATGCCGCTAAAGCACCAGTTTTCATCAAAAGGCGATCAGTGGAAAAACAACTAGGAAGCCCTTTCTTGACGACTATGTGTAATAGTTGGAAAATGCACATGCTGATAGATTCAGGCGCATGTAACTCTTTAATTACACCCCGTGTCTTGAATAACATTTGGCCATTTTGGGAAAAAGAAGTCCGTACAAGACAGAAAAGAGAATACTTTAGCGCTTCAGGAAGCCTCCAGTCGATAGGCGAGATAACTTTACCAATACAATTCTTACATGAAACTAGTCCGTGTATTTTGATGATTGACTTCATAGTAATAATGAATGCCAGAAATATTGAAATTGTCCTTGGTGCCGACATGATGAATGAATACGGAATGAGTATCTCGTATACAGATGAGATTGAACTAACCATTAAAGGATCAGAAGTAGTATTTACTCCTATACATGAATCCAAAGTGATAGGACGCACTTTAGAGACCCGTATCATCAGAGCTATTGAATCATGCACGATAGCATCAGACATATTGAATCTACAAGCCGAAGCAGGTCTTCCTCAGCAATGGCATAATGGCTTGACAAGTAAACACGTTACCAATGCCCGTCAAATGAAATCAAGACCAGCTTTGGGAAAAGCGCATTTATTAGGACAACATAGTCTGACAACAGTCATAGTGGAGGGAGTAGAAACCCGTTGCTTACTGGATAGTGGAGCATCATGTTCCGCCGTAGGAGAAGTGTTTTTATCAAAACTCATTCCACATTGGAGGGAAAATATGTTACCTAAAAGTAGTACTACGTTCCGAGGTTGTGGAGAAACGCTGAAAGCCATTGGTGTACTAGAAGTACCCCTTATTTTCCCGCATACTGATGGATCAGTAAGAATTAAACCAGAATTTGTGGTTATGGAGAATGCTACTCCGAGATATTTTATTCTTGGGGACGATTTTTTATTGTTGTACGGAATAGATATCATACACACCCGTGAGAAGTATTTTACCATCGGTAATGAAAATAAAAAGAAGAAATTTGCGCTTCACCAAACTCGGAGAGAAAGGCACGCAGAACACGAGGGATCAGGAACTATCATGACTCTTGCTCCAAGCGTGACGAACCGAATAGTTTCAGGAGATGACCTTGATATGTCGAAAAAGAAAGATATTCATGAACTAGTTGGAAAATTCTCGGATACTTTTGGGCTAGGTAATAACAAAATAGGCACAATCACTAAATATGAAGTTCAGATAAAACTAACGGTAGAGAAACCGTACCCTCCGATTCTACGCAAGGCAGCATACCCAGCAAGCCCACGTAACCGAGCAGAACTTGAAGTTCACACAAACGAACTAGTTGCGTTGGGCATACTGAGAAAGGTACAGCAGAATGAAGACGTCGAGATAACGACTCCGTGTGTAGTAGCCTGGCATGGAGGCAAGTCCCGCGTCTGCGGAGATTTCAGAGCGCTGAACGCGTACACAGAGCCCGACAGATATCCTATGCCACGAATAGAGCAAGTGATTACGAATCTGGGAAAATCAGTATATATTACGACCATGGACCTAATGAAAGGTTTCCACCAAAATATTGTAGAAAAAGACAGCAGGAAATTTCTTAGGATAATATCGCATTTGGGAATTTTTGAATACCAGAGGATGCCCTTCGGAATCAAAAACGCACCAGCATTTTTTCAAAAAATGATGGATACGGAATTCCATGACGAGTTACGTGATGGACATGTTATAGTCTATATCGATGACATCATAGTATTTCACGAATCATGGACTGAACACTGTAAAACTTTGGAATCCATCCTGAATAAACTCAAAGCTTTGGGAGCTACGGTATCACTGGATAAATGCAAATTCGGATTTTGAGAAGTCAAAGCTCTCGGACACATCGTATCAGGGCTGACCCTAGCTATAGACCAAAATAAGGTAGCGGTGGTTATACATAGGCCTTTGCCTAAGGCCGTTAAAGATATCCAAAGCTTTTTGGGATTCTCGAGTTACTACAGAATGTACTTGGAAAACTATGCCAAAGTAACTTTCCCTCTATACTATTTACTAAAGAAAGGAGTGGAGTTTACGATAACGGAAGAAAGAGCACTAGCCTGGAATAACGTGAAAACACTCCTTACCTCAGCACCTTGCCTCTTGCAGCCAGATTTTTCTAAGCCATTTATACTGTATGTTGATGCTAGTTTTTTAGGACTCGGGGCCAATACCCGAATCGCTCCGAAACGATATGAAATTTGGTCCATTTTCATATCGTTTCGGAGTGGGCGCTATGAATCGCTCCGCTCCGAGATCGCTATGAAAATGGAAAAAATCCTTGCCAGGTATCGGAGCGGAGGAATTGATCAATTCCCGCTACATAGCGCACTTAGCGGTGATGTAGGAAGACCAAACAAAAATTTTGTATTTCAAATATATTTGTACGTGACCATAGGGCTAGATACGTAGGAGAGTAGGACGTGTTTTCATAGAGACATCAGAAGCAAGAGAAACATGTATAATAAGAAAACTCAGAGTCAAGGTGAGACTTGAGTCACTTTAAGGAAGGAACACGTGTAAGAAATGAAATTGTATAAAAAGAAATTCTTTCGATGAAAGTAAATTGATGGACCTATCGGGTCATCTTTCCCGATGATTGCTTCTTTACCAATGCTTGCATATAAGATTGAAGCGCTTTGGCAGCTTCTTCAAACACCCCATCAGGGACGATTCCCTCCTTCAACCACGCTTGAGATCCAACAAGTCGCTCCATAGTTTTTGGGAGCATACTGCCTCTTGAAGGTGTACACACATCGGCAGCGGCTGAAAAAGTCCGCTCGCATGCACATGATGTGGCGGAAATTGATATATACGATATGAGCAAAAGGTTACAATTATGATGGAAGTAATAACTGTTTGAGTGGGTAACGAGAAAAGAACAAGTAAGTATCTTTGATTGAATCAATCAAAGATGAGGGATAGAATCTCACTGACCAAAAGATCACTACTAATACAACTTGGTAGTCAATTGGACCACATTTTGGCCCTTGAAATGTATTCCAGGGGTCGTGTTCCATTGGCCGTGGAGGTGGTGATGGACTAGGACCAATTAAGACAGGTGAAGTGGTCATCTAAGATCAAAAGAGGTGAAGGTGGGTGGCGTGAGGCGTCGATCTAGTGAAGGGGTGGGGTGACAACCCTCTACCCACCCCTTGGATCATGATGTCCGCTATATATCGGAGAACCCGATGTCCCGGGGCATTGCGTAGCGGTCCTTTTGCTATGGAAAAGTCTGGGGCTCGAGTTCGGTGCGCAGTTTCCGCTATGGACTGCGGAGGTCATAGCGGGTTCCAAATCCGCTCCGAAATCGCTCCGAAACAGCTATCTAGAGCGGAGCGATTCGGGTATTGTCGGGGCAGCACTGCACCAAAAACAAGTAGTTAACAATAAACTTGTTAACGGGCCGGTTTGCTTTATCTCAAGACAACTTAAAGAAAGCGAGAAGAGATACGGAGCACCTCAGTTGGAATGTCTCGCACTAGTTTGGGCACTAAATAAACTTCACTATTACCTTGACGGTATATACTTCGAAGTTATCACTGATTGCCAGGCTATAAAATCTTTATTAAATACAAAAACTCCAACTAGGCATATGCTAAGATGGCAAATGGCTATACAAGAGTATAAATCATACATGACAATTACTCATTGACCAGGCATCCTGCATAGTAACGCCGACGCGCTTAGTAGGATGGCAATGCCAAACACCCCGGACAATCCGGCTTGGGAAGCTGAAGATGAAGAGAGAGACATCCCGATCATGGGTTTAAGTTTGTGCAAACTATCAGATGAATTTTTTGCTCAGGTAGAAGAAAGTTACGCGCAAGACCCTAACATTACAACCTTGATCAAAATATTTGGACTAGAACAAAGAAATGTTACGCTGGAAAGTACGCTCCAACCAAAATGGAAAAAACCATTCGAGGAAGGTAAGTTTTCAGTCATCTCAGGATTATTATATTATAAAGAAAGACACACGAATGTTGTAGTCATATGTAATAAAACAGACATTGAGAAACTACTCGCAGTATGTCATGACAATTTTATGTCGGGACATCTGAGTGAAGAACGAGTCTTGCACAGAATGGCTTCAACTGCGTGGTGGCCAGAATGGAAAGATGACGTCAAACAGTACGTAGACTCATGCGAAAGATGTCAGAAAGCGAACAAACAAACCGGGAAGCGGTTTGGTTTGCTCCAACGAATTGAAGAACCAAAGTTCCCCTGGGAAATAATAAATATGGATTTTGTAACTGGTTTACCACCAGCGGGCCATGACAGCGCGAATAGCGTACTTGTGGTAGTCGATCAATTTTCGAGGAGAGCAAGATTCATACCCTGCCACAAAGAAATAGACGCCGCAGGTACAGCTCTCCTATTCTGGCAGCATATCATCACCGATAGTGGTTTACCCAAAGTGATCATTAGTGACCGAGACCCCAAATTCACATCTGAATTCTGGACAGGCCTAATGAGACTTATGGGTACTACCTTGGCGATGTCCACCGCATATCACCCTCAAACAGACGGGCTAGCAGAGAGAATGATACAGACCTTCGAAGACATGCTTCGAAGGTACTGTGCACTCGGTTTATCCTTCAAAGATAAGGACGGTTACACGCACAACTGGCGATCTCTGCTACCAGCTTTGGAACTAGCTTATAATACAAGCATCCACAGCACGACTGAGAAAACACCGTTCGAAATTGAACGAGGGTATAATCCGCGAACACCTAAAGATTTGATCAGAGACAAATCTATCCACATCCATCCAACGTCTCTAAGCTTCCACGACCTGTTGACAAAAGCTAGAAGTCACACTAGGAATTGTATAGACGATGCAGTTAAATATAACAAAACACGGTGGGATAAGACACATAAAGAACCAGAGTTCCTGGTAGGAGATAAAGTCCTAGTATCCACTGTCAACTTCAGTACCATACAAGGCCCTAGAAAACTAAAGGATTCGTTCGTAGGTCCTTTTACAGTTGTCAAACTCCACGGTCCGAATGCAGTGGAGGTATTGCTAACCGGAGAATTCGCGAGAAAGCATCCCACATTTCCGGTGTCGCTGCTAAAACACTTTAAAGAAGCGGACACCGGGAAATTCGCAAACAGACGACCAACCGAGGAAATCGTTCCTTTTGACGATGAAGCACCTAAAGAGGTACTGAAAGTTCTAGAGCAGAAACGAGTTAAACTCGCGGGTAAAGATGTAAGACTATATTTAGTCAGGTATAAGGGAAAACCCTCAGATTGCGACGAGTGGCTCTCGGAAGACAAGATATCGAACGCATTGCAAGTGCTTAGAAAGTTTAGGGTAGAAAAGAAAAACTCTTGAAAATTTTTTTTTTCTCTCTGGCCCCGGCGAGTGTCAACCAGGAGAGGTTCTGCAGAGCAGAACCCCCATAGATTGAACATAAAATACATAAAATAATGATATACAAAAAACTAAAAACTTACAACTCTATCACTCGAGTTTCAAGAGTGTATTATACATATAAAACAAGGAGCTGAGAAAAACCTATAGACCAGATGATAAAAACGCCGAGTCAAAGAAAACCCTTATGACGTAAAGGTCCTAACCAGCCCTTTAGTTATTCCCACTTCGTTCAGACCAAGTACAAAGTAACCAGGCAGAATGATTCCTATCCAGACCAGAGTTCCATGTTATTAGTAACTTGAAAACCCTGGAAACTACGAAATGAGACACTGACCAAACAGTAGCTCAGTAGAAAGATCCAGATATAAATAAACCAACGTTCGACCTAAAGGGAAAGGAATCAGATTATCTTACTTTAAAAACTTTACAACAACTACTTTAAACATACCTTTTACCTTTTCCCCTTTTTGATTGACCTTTCTACAATAGTCTTCCCACTAAACTTGTGCGATTGTTAGCTATCTAGATTTAGAGCTCTTTCAAAACTATTGTACGACTTAGTCATTTCATCGTTTCATCACCTCTTCCTTGAACCGAATCCTTTTATTGTTTTTTCGCTTCACGACTTCTTTAAAGATCGTTTAACTAGGGTTATTCGACTGAAGATCTCGTCTTTATTTTCTTTCTACACCTTTGATCGAACTCAAGTTCCTTCACTACTGCTAAAGCACACCTAAAGCAAGTCTACCTCGGTATTCACTTTAGTAGACGAGTTGGTTAAAAGACTCGTACTTAACTCAAGAAATTAACACTAAACACGAAGAACCAAAAATTACGATATTCTGATCTAGAGAAGACATCTACATTTCGTGAAAGTAAGCTTCAGCCTCTCAACTTCTTACTCATTTAGCTACCGCAGTTATAGTCAGGCTGACAAACATGATGTATGCAAGTCAAGTGGTTGGTTTCATTTTACTTCTTCCACTCTCTCTTGTTGGGTAATTTGTAACTGATCATATTGCATATCTATTTGTTTCCTTTGCTAGGGCTTGTTTGAAAAATTGCCTTACGGCCTTCTAGCCCAACAGGTTGGGCGGCAAGACTCTATCCAAGATATTTAATGAAACCTTTTGCCTCTTTCCTAGGTCCAAGCTGTGGCTTGACTGGTGTAATACAGTGGATATTCACTCAATGCTATTCAGCTTTTGTGATTGCCTCCCTTTTGACAATCCCCCACTTCCTTAGATCAATGTAATGTTTAGGGAAATATGTACGCTTGAAAGAGGCCATGAAGAAAGCACCAAGATCACAGATTGTTACAATGAATTAAGCCTCAAAATTTAAAAATCAATACAACAGGGAAACTCGCAAGCAATACAAAAGTAAGTGTTTGAATCAACACATTGAAATCAACCTGAGCTCCGGCAACTATCTGGCAAGTTTTGGCGATTCCAACATCTGGACCACCAGTTTTTTTTACTGACTGGACAAGTTGGAGAATATGCAACCGGTTTTTTTCTCCAAAATGTCAGATACAACATCCAAGCTGGCCATCCGCCGGATATCCAGCAGTAAATCAAAAAAATTTAATCAAAAAATAAAAAAACAAAAAACATTCTTCCCACAGTTCACCACCTCAAACAGCCTCCAGCTGTTTAACCCCACTCAAATATCAATCAATTACAGTATACCATATTCCCTCCTATCATCACTTGATCAGATATCGCAGTTATTTCAACTCATATTAATCACCCAACAAGCTGCATGTGGAAGTTTTTCAAAAAGACTGACAAGTACAAGAGTGATGGGGAGGAAAGTAAATAGTTTCTTCAATTTTTTTTATTTGTTTCTGTTTTTTTTTTTCAATCTGCTGTCCTTTAAATCCCTTTGAAATACATGCCAATACATGTCTTCAAATATACTGGATATCCAGCAAGGATTAATTTTTTTTGCCCCCTCTTCTGTCAACCGAACCGGCGGGAGTATCCGGCTACCGGATGGCTTCAAGGACCCATCCAATATCCAGATCCAACGGATAACCAGGGCCAGAGCTCAGCTTGAGAAAATGCCAATCACAGAAAAAGAAGTTCACAGTGAAATTTAATTGTTTCTCTTGAAATCGACCACTTCAATTTAATTTTGATTCATCATTTTCCAGAATTGAAACTTGTATTTATTTTTAGTACCACTGTCCATCTATTTTTCTTCAAGATTTATCAACTCAATTTCACACACTTTCACAAAAGTTATATGATCAAACATTCATGGTGGTGACACCTCTCAATCAGACTCTCACAAGGATTTCTCAAATTTACAGGTTGGATATTGTGTCTGCACAGCAGAGCATATGTGGATTCAAAGCTGTGACACCACGGGAATTATTTTGCATGAAACCCTTGTGAATTGTGGTGACCAGGCCTGCAGCTCTCTTTAATTGTGAGTCTCATTTGCCTAAGGTTGCTGGTTACTCTTGGGTGTGCCCCCACTGTACAATCCATTTTCTTTCATGTCCAACAACACCTTTCAACCTTGAAGATTTGACTACAGTCAATTCACAGATGCTGAGATCCCCCTTGTGAGATCTACCTTTATGTACATTTGTATGCATGGCCATGAGCTCTCTGCAGTAGATAGTTGAATGACTTGTAATCACAACTTTGCTTGGGGGGAGGGAAACTGACAAACCCAAGGCAAACAAGACCCACAATTGAAGAGATTTGAGGATCCAGTCACTGCAATTTGCTACAATGAGGTTTGAAGAAAAATTATTCCCATGGTGTGAGCTACAGATCACAGGCAGCAGTCACATGTGATGTCCAGAGTCCTGACTCACCCCCAGATGTGGAGACTCCCGATGGCACACCCCAGATTGTGACATGACCACTACATTGTTCTGGTTTGACTATGATCAAGAGTCTGTGAAATGTAGGTATGCTGTGGTTGCTCTGCCCTTGACTTTCTGAAATAGGATTTGTTCCAAAAACATCTGACTTTGAATCAAATGAACTTACTGAATCCTTGTGACAATTATAACAGTGCATGATCAGTGCCATACATCATGTTATGCTTCATGGAAGGACAGGACAGGACAGGCCAATCCAATCAGCAGATGCAATTCCAAAAGCCAGGATGATCAAGTGGTTGAACAATGAAAACTTCTGTTTCACATACATGATTTTTTCAGATTGTGATTCACAACAATCAGTTATATTAAGAAAAGTATCAATTTCAAGAGATGGACCATACTACTTTCAAAGTTCTTTGAATTTATTGGCTGCATGTAACAGCTCACACTGAGTACCACTCTCTTTTGCTGAATGTCCAGCATCAGGAATAATTTTGAAACTAAAAACCAAGAGAATACATCAGTCAAATTCTTTGTTAAAGTGCTGTTATGTGTTTGAGTAGCAGATTACTCAACTCAGCTTCAGGCCAAGCTTTGTGTAGATCCCATGCAGTTTTTGCTGGACAAACAACTTGAGAGATTTTCAAAATAGTTTTAGTCAGAAAATTATAATTATGTTTGAACGTGAAAAGATTGTTTTCTTTTCACTTACCATCATATCGTCCTTGTACAATTACAGTAGGTATATGACGAATTTTATCGATTTCATCTTTTTCTAATAATTGACCATCTCGCATCCAACCACCATTAACAAAATAATGGCATCTATTGTAGAAAAAAATGTTTCATTAAAATCAAAAATAATAGCTTTCCGAAGTTTTTTTTAGAAATAAAGTTGACAACTTAACTCAATCCTTGCAAATTTATCTGAAAAATCATCTTCTTTTGCTTTCTTCAAATATTCTTCATCAACCATTAATCTGCTTGTACTACATTCCCAAAGTGACCATTCTTTTGCTGCTTTTGATCTTACATTCAAATCAGTTGACGTTAATCTTTTATAATAAGCTGACACCATATCATTTCTTTCGTCTTCAGGTATGACTGAGATATACTTTTCCCATGCTGTATAATATTTTTTCAAACATTCCGGATCAGAAACGAACCGAACAAATTAATCAATAAATGAGTGTGTTTTGTTGCATATCTAGAGAGTTTTTAAAAACCTACCATCTGGAAATAAAAAGTTACTTCCAGGTCCTTGATAAAAGAAATTTAATTCTTCTTTACGTAAAGTGAAGATACCACGTAAGATGAGAGCTTTAACTCTTTGAGGAAATGATTGAGCATAAGCTAATGATAAAGTTGAGCCCCATGAACCTCTATGAAACGAAAAAAAGAATCTTCTGATCAGTTTAGTCTTTTCCTATTGTAATCTAGCTCGTCATGATGAAATGACTTACCCAAAGACGACCCATTTCTCTATCTTTAAATGTTCACGTATCTTTTCTATGTCAGAAACAAGATCCCAAGTTGTGTTTTCTTCTAGACATGAAGGAGGTGTTGATTTCCCTGCCCTTTTGGTTTGTTCAGAGGTTAAGTTTTATTAATGTGATCATTGATTTTATTCAAGGTTGATTTTGGTCTTTACCCTCTTTGATCAAATAAGACGACACGGTAGATCTTAGGATCAAAATATCGCCTGAATTTCAAAAACATCAAATATCAATCTCCGTATTCATGAATTCTAAGCAAGCTTTTCAATAAACTAACCTATCGAACTCTGAACAACCTCCACCAGGTCCTTGATCGATCAAGATTAAACAATCAAGATCATGAAACCGGCAAGTGTAATCCTTTCGATGGTCCCTTGGGAACCTTCGATAAAGAGATCTTTAACTCACCACCATGAATGAAGATCACAGGTTTTCCATTCGGATTACCACTTTGTTCTACATAAAGTGTATGTCTTTCAAATAGAGAAGAGCGTCAATGGCGATCGAAGTTCAATTCGATTTGTTTAAGGAAATGAATGTTTAGAATGAGACCAACATTTTGGAGACTACCAACATCTCATGAGCAAAAGGACTCACTACATCGAATAAAGTAGGTGATGTCATCTTCAAGAAAATTAAATTCAAATCAAGAGCCGCATACACCGTTGTAGTGCAGGATTCACACCCAAGCTGTACCGACCTATCCTTGACTTTATTCGGGTTTCGGGACCATCCAACTTAATTCCTTGTCATCCATCATTCAACATTTTCACAGGACTAGAATGGGAGTTGTCAATGTATGTGCACTATGTATGAGACTCATAGATCAATACCCAGGACTGCATTTGAATCTTCCCGCATATCTATATGCTTTGACGAGTGCATATGCAAATGGAATAGCCTATAGAAAACATTTGTTATTCGTTGGTTGGGAATCAATCTAGGTGAGCCAGGACTTTTTGCCTCGAAGAAAGTGGGTCTGTGTTACTCTCCTGAGTCAACGTACTCCATGGTGTTTGACTAGGTTAGACTGTGAAAGGGGCTTTAAGGCAAGCGCATCCTAAAGTTGTTGGTGTGAATTTTGAAATCGAAACATGCTTTTTAAAGCTTCTTTGTTGTAGATAACCCGCTGAGCTTGGTATAAAATCAAACGATTCTCATGGTCAATTGACTAAGGCGCCTTGATTAATCTCGCAAATTCTTTTTAAAGATTAAACAAGACCCAAAAGTTTAGAGTATGTATGCTTTTTAAGATTGTTCACACCACTGCAAGGCCAGATAAGGCTTGTTTCAGCAATCAATTCCGGTGTCTTGACCGAGATAAAGCAATGCTGATTGCGAGTCTTGCTGTGGATTAAAGCCCACTCATCTTCATCAGGGAGTCACACTCATTCAAGTTTTGGTTGATTTGCCCAACATCATTCCAGTTTGCTTTATTGTTTCTCAATCTTCTTACTATCCATCATCATTTAAACCGACTAAGAATCGTTAGCATCGAAAAATCGGTGTTAAAGGTTCAGGTTGAGATCAGTTGAGATCCTGATCAAAACATCTTGCCCCTTTTTTCAAAAAAACGACACATGAAGTAGATCCTTAAAACATATCCTTCGTACCTTGCCAAGTTAAAAAAAACAATTCACATTCAGTCATTAATTGAAGTCTGCCTGCCTTTTTCCGAATAATCATTATCATATCCTAACATTTAATTCTTGAATTTCCTTTAACAATTTCCTCAACAATAATAAACACTTTCTTTATTTTCAATACCAACATCAATCCAACTCAACATCAACATCTCATCATCACTATCATTTAAATTCGACTCAGGATCTTATCACTCCAAGAATTCAAATCATACATTGAAGGGATCACATTCATCTATTCTTGATTGTCTCAACATTTTCATCTGAAATATTATTGATATCTGTTATTCTTTACACAAAGGATTCAAATTATCAACTCATTGACCATCTGTTTTTGTTGACTGTCGTTGAGTATTATTCTCAAGCTCACCTCTCTCTGCCGTACTGGACTTCTCACTGATCTCAAAACCATCAAAACTTAGGCTACTCTGATCAAAATAATTCAACATTTCTTGAGGGTGAGTTTGCATTTCGTATAAACTCATGGTTGAATGTTGTGCTTACCTTGGCGCACGATATCAATATTAAACTTCAGTTTCTCAAAGTGTCAAGAATCAACACTCCCGTTGTCACCCCCCTCAAATCCTCATCTTCTCGTTCATTCAGTTTTCTTTCAAACTTCAGACCCTGCGTTACCATCTCTCCTTTCTTTGATCATCCACCTACCACGTGTGACTTATCAATCTCACTCGTTAGATCCAACGTTTGAGCCAAATTTTGCCAAGATCCAGTGCGTACATTTTCATCATCTCTGTTTATCCTCTTTTTGCGTGAGCTCGGCACGTATGATGTGTTTTGGATTTTTCCCATGTCATTACACATTGTTTTGTAAAGATATTGAACAAGGAATGATGCTATATTCAATTTGGATCCACTGATCACTGAACCTTTTATCCATTTCAGCTCACGCGTATCTGTTATATCATATCTGGCAAACTTCAAACTATAAATTCGTCATGAGCACTTCGAACAAACAACTTCAATTTTCCCCTTCGTCTCCTTGTCCTCCATCCTCTGATCTTAAAGATCTTTTAGTAGCTCGCGCTCGTATCCACCCTCATTTTAACCAAACTTATTTAAAATCTTTGCACTCACCTGGTTCAGAGAGCGTTCAATTACCTCCTAGCCCAAATCCAACTATAAAACCTTCCACTCCTTCATCTACGGTTAAAGTTGATTCGACTAACATCTTACAGACTCCTACTTCTATTGCAATTACTGAAGGTAGTCAATATTCACCCTCCGTTCTCAACGTTGATCCTGACTCAGAGACTTTACAAGATATCCAATCTGAACGTCTTAGTATCACTTCAGATTCTCCTGATTCATCTTACTCGCCTATAATCCTCAAGGCTCGTCGTACAATTGCTGTTGACGTGTCGAAAACATTGGATAATTTGGATCAAGAAAATATCGCGACTAACGAAGGTTGTAACACAAAACCCTCCGAAGTTCACTCGCCGAAATCATTACAGGAATTTTTAATCTCTGGTGGATCTCCTCGTCCAATCAGTACCGCTCAAGATATGTCCACTGAACTGAGTCCGATGAAGACCTTTCTGGGACCAAAACTTACTCGACATGGTGATGCTCCTTGGAGTGAGACTTCGACGGGCGAGGAAGATTCTAACGAGAGTGGTAGTCAACTAGATCATAATAATATTCTTCCTCGTACTTCTCCAAGTCCTTCTTTGCGTCAGATTCCATTTGCTCTCTCACATGTCTTAACGGGTGGCGCTCGGAGAAATGGTAGTAGAGCTCGTCAAGCTACTGATGTGGTACTTTTTGATATCGTCGATCCACCTGTTCCGAAAGCCACAGAAACTACATCATCCTCTACCGATAGCACTAAAAATGAGGATCTCAATACTTCATCCTCTACCTTGGGTCTATCTAGAACTCCCAGTGAAAGTTCAAATAGTATAACTCATACCAGTACATCCGCCGCCACACCTAGTACCAGCTGGTCAAGTCTTCCGTCCGCAACAGGAAACTCTCAAACTGCCAAGCTCGTTGAACAATCTACCGGTCGACCTGCTCAGCCTCCAATGAATAAATCAGCCCTTAGTTCCTCAGCACCTGCTCCAACCGCACTACCCACTTTACCGTTGGCAGGACCGTCTTCAGACTCACGTCGATCACAGTCTGTTGAACCTGACTCCTCCGCTACTCGATCTCAAGACCGATCCCTCTCATCTCTAGAGAATTTCCCGGTGGATGCAGCATTCAATTACCCTGAATTGGCACCTAGATCAGTAACTCCCTCTAGTCTATCTGGTAAAATGCTCAAGAAGAAGAAAAGTGCTGGTTTCTTACGGTCACTCAAGAAGGCAGTCGGATCAGTAACTCATGACGAAGTTCGATCAGTCTCTGGTCCAGTAGGACAAGTGATTCGGAATGGTGGAGCAGATCCTATGCCAGCTGCTAGACCTTTACCTTCTGGTCTACCATCTGCACCTCTCCCACGTACTCGTAACAAATCATTTGGAGGAAAACTTGCGGCATTTGCAGTACAACAACAACAACCCAACTCGAATAATAACGCGGTTGAACAATTAGCTGTACCACTTCCAACTAATTTACATTCAAGAAGAAATCAATTAAATCCATTACAACATCAGACATTGAATTTAAGACCGATCTCTATGGCATTTTCGGCCGGATTTTCAGCCGATTTATTACTTCAATCATCTGAGTTGCAAGAAAATCAATTTTCACCTTCATTATTTAAGTGTGATTCATCTTCTGGTGATTCTGATATAAGTACCTTACCTTCGCCTATTCAAACATTATCTTCGATGTCAAACTCGATACCACCTAAATCTAATCATTCAAATAAATCTACCGGTTCCAAGAAGAATAAACAAGATGAAGTAAACCAACTTGAAGTACAAGTGAAAACGTTGAAGGATGAAATCGCTTCACTTAAAGCTGAACGTGAGAATTACTTGCATATTTCTCTTCATAATGAAAGTGTACGTTACTTTCTGATCTTTGTTTGTCAACTATGATTCAAATATGCTGATGATATGTTTCTGTTTAAAATAGAGCGATCAAGATTCAAAGTGCGAAAAGTGCGGTTGTAGTGGTCGTTGTTCAGCTGCTAAGGTATCTGTTTTAGATAGACCTAGGATCAAAGGTTCTATTGGTGCTCCTTTATTATTTACAAGTGGTAGAGATTATTCGTAAAGGCAAATTTGATTTCTTTACTTATTATTGAATGTCAAAAGTTTCTTGAATTATTTTAAGTCTTTCATTATTCCTTTCTCCTTGCTTTTTTTGTGTTTGTCATGTTTATTTTTTTATGGATAATCTTCAATTTTTTCTCTTGACAGTTTTTAGTTTAATCAGAAGCTTACTACATAGATAAACTCTAGTCAATAATTTGGACTTTTTCTTCGAACTTTATTTCAATCAAATTAAAAACTTGATATGTTCTTTCATTGAAAATCTCTTTTCGAATTCGTAACTTCTTTTCTTTCATACATTTATTTGATCTTGATCTATATCTATATTGAAAAACAACCTTTATGTGTTTGTGTAACTTTCCTTCTACAATATTGATTGATTAGTTTTCTTCTTGCTGTATATCGTGGAAATAGATTGTTCTTCTTGGATTGAAATTGTACATGCTGTCCATAATGAACTATAGAAAAAGTTAGCGTGACAAACGAAGAATGAGAATCGGTACGGCAAAATTCAGACAGGAAGATGTCAAGAGGTGATGAGAATGTGTTTTTCCCTTTGGGCTTCAACGGGTTTGATCGCGGTATGATAATGTAGATTGTGTCAGCGTCGGATGAACACTCGCAATACTGAACAAATCAAGAAATTCCGCTTTTAGTTTTCCCTATTTCAAAAGGTTTCATAAAGTCTTTTCCTTGACAAGTTTGAACCGCTATTCGGGCAAGAATATTTGTGGAAACACCGTCTTTAAGCTGTTGATATATACGTAATACATGGCGTGGCGCTGTTATAAGGGCAGATGTGAATCTCATAAAATAGGTGGTCAAGTTCCACCCCAGTCCACTCCGACCCCGCTGTTGGGCTTTTGTTAAGCTAGGATGAGGTGTGGACCCGCTTACTTTTGGCTTGCGGTGAACCAAGGCAGACTGCACAGCCCATCCCGTGGCTGTGATCACTTGATCATGTTAGCGATAGTCATCAGTTGACTCAAACGGTTGTGGGTTAGCTTAACAAAGCCCTCTCTGCGCGGCCGCGTCCGCGCCCTCGCAGAGGGGCTTAGGACCTCTTAGGACTAATCGTCGATTTTTGGCTTGAGCACTACACTCCTTAAGTGTCGCTAAGGAGTTTTTTGAATTTTTACGCTTCCCTCACAAACCAACCTCACTTGGCCCTGCTGGGAAAGTTGTTCATGATCATTTTCTACATGTGTATATCTTGTTATCACGAGAGAAACACTACCCCACCATGCTGTTCTTGAGGGAATTTTCAAGCCTTATGTCTCACTTGTAAAGGGGCATACAGGGTGAATTTGCACCGTACCCGATTTTTGGCTCATTGCTACAGGTGTTTTGTAAGAATCATCAACCTCCTTTTTTGGCCACACCGTTCACACTGGCCATGATTCTAGACTACGAGATTATGTAGAATTTTTATCAGAACAACTTTCCCTGCGGAGTCAGGTGAAGTTTGTTTGTGAGGGAAGCGTGAAAACCCGAAAAACTCCTTAGAGACACTTAAGGAGTGTAGTGCTCAAGCCAAAAATCGACGATTAGTCCTAAGCCCCTCTGCGAGGGCGCGGACGCGGCCGCGCAGAGAGGGCTTTGTTAAGCTAAGGTTGTGGGCGATTCAATTCTATCTTGTTATGGAGCGTATCACGCCCTATCCCGCGGCAAGGGTCCAGGTTCGGCTACGAGTATGACATCGAGGGGGCTGATCATGTGATCAACTGACATGTCTAGTTGGGATAGCTGATGATGTTGGGTTAACAAGGGTCCTGCTCATCTTTATTTAACACCCTAGGAAGATTCCAGGGGTACATCAATAAGTCGATGATTGAGTGACTTGGTGTAATACTTGACCTGCTGAGCCAGACAAGACTGGTTTTTGCGAAGAGGTTTGTCTGTGTTTGCATGTTGTACACACATATGCCAAGGGAGGCCACGAATGGCTTGCATCTTTATCCAAGGTCATTCGCCTGTAGAATATTTTAAAGGATCAAGTATTCGGTATTCATGCTCAATTGGGCGCTGGCTGATTTGTATCTGCCCATTCACATTCCAAATCTCCGGCATTCCTCTTGTAGCATTTTGTGTACCCGATTTCCCCGAATATATTGATTTAAAGTAGAATTTTTGAGAAGCAAGAACAAGCCATGGCTGTGCAAAAAGTGATAATTCGGAACACTGAAGTTGTCATGAACGATTATAAACCTGAAGAGACGTCAATCCCCCCGCCCATAACCCCGTCACACACCATTTTCAAGAAACCTCGCTACTTTCTTCTACCCACAGGCAACAAAAATCGAGATTTTGAACATGTACAACTTAAGGGTCATATTACTATTGGCTTTGGTCTTTGTCGCCATCGAGTCGCTGGCCGCTCAGACTAAAGTTGTGTATCACTCCTTCTTCCAATGTTCCGACAACACGCTCGCTGTCTGTGCCAACTCCTGGTCTCATCGGAGCGGGAGCGGGTCTTATGGCCTTGTCCAGGGTGGTCAGTTTTTTCTTTTTTTGGTCAGGCGAGATAGACGTCTCACCCATCATCAAACCCACCTCAAGATATCTATGAAAACCCTCTCCTCTGACAAATATTTTGCTATGTGTATTTAGCTTCCTATGCCGCCGATACGGGTTTGACGCAAAAGGATGGATCTTCAGCTTGGGAGGATAAATTGTGGTCATGTGATTACCAAGGCAAATCTGGCGCATTTTGTTGTGAAAAGAAAATTGTGAGCAATACATTATTCTTTGACATGTAGCTCAACACTCAAGCTGATGACTCATCATCACTTCAATGGTTCTATTTAATCAGATAAACAATCAAGTCAGCCAGTGCGCTCATATGTCACCTGGACATTGATAAAATTGATACACATCATGTATGATAATCAATATGATCTTTCGAGTACGGAATCGAAACCAAAATTCTTCATACTATTTTAGCTATCCCTATAAAGATTACGTCGCGTAAATATGAGTTCGATAGCCTTGTAATGATGCAAACTTAGTAAAAGTTGAGCTTTATTTGACCGCTGACTGCTCGATATTTTCCTTGAAAAGATCACGGTCCACCTTTGATAAAAGAACTTTTCATGCTCAGTGCTGGTTTGAGTACGGACTAGGCATCAAAATTATCCATGCAACATTAGCTATCCATATAAGATTCAGTCACATACTCATGAGTTGGATGACCTTGTTGCAATGTAGACGTACAGAGATTGTCAATTGAAGCTTTACCTCACCTCTGACTGCTCGATACATATGTTTATTGAAAAGAGCACAATCCAGCTTTGGAGAACAAGACCTTTGCTACATCATCATAGTGATGCTCAGTGTGCGTGTATGTAAGATGTTCCATACTACATGGATGGACGGTTCACCGATGTGGGGAGCATTCGAGGATTGTTGGAAATGGGCGAAACGATCCCCGGGCGAAAAGTCTCATGTACGAGACAGCCTGTACCAAGTCCGTGCAAGAGGTACAGCGCAATTCAAAAATATAAGCCACTCGTGAGGTGGCTTAAGCTTCCGGATCGCGGTGGCCTGGCAGACCTCGATGGTATACCAGATCATCAATTATGATAATATAACATTACAACATAAAAACATTCACCCTTTGCTTCGATTCAAGTTTATAGATTTCAATCAATACGAACAATTTTTATCTATCTCGATGAAGAACAGATGCATCTCACTTTTTTAGATTATTCATCATATCATCATAAAGGGTGGAGGAAGATGGTGTTAGATTTCATCCAAGTCTTTAGGATATAAAACCAAAACACTCGAAGATTTGAATCACTTTAAAATGCTTAAGCCAACATTTATCAATCCAAGCTTTATAAAACGTGGAAATGAAAATAAAAACCAATGACCGTTCAAAGAAGTGGAGCCAAAAACTTGAAAGCAAAAAAAAAACTTAAAAACAGAATATGTCAAGCTGATCTTTCTGAATCAGACAGAGCTTGATCAATTCATTTCTCAGCCAGATGTTATGCAATCTGACGACGTTAGCGGAGGTGATTGTTTTCTCCTACTTACATATGCTCTCTTGATAGTCGCGAGCTGGAAGTGAGCGAGTTTCCGATTGCGACCTGTACTACAAGGTACTACATCCAAGGCTCAAGCCATCTTCCTATGTACATACAGGAAGGTGGCGTCTTGAGGATACTTTTCGCCCATCTGCCTTTTCGCCCACTTTCGCCGGATCTCAACGATAATCGAATTCTCTGCCGATGTGTGATCCACCAAGCTGCGGCAATTCTGTTGAGCGTCTGATCACACCCCGAATCCTCCAAATCTCGCCTTTGTGGCAGAATATCTGAGAAGCAACAGAAGCCAAGGCTTTCCGAAAAGTGTTAAATTTGAGCACTCAGACGGTGACTCAGACCGTCACAGGAATTTGACAGACGAGTAGGGTAGATCAGGGTCCCCGTCAATCCCCATCGTCATGTTTCAAGCAAAAGAGACGTCGACTTTATTTATGGCTTAAAGTGCCTCCTGAGCCAAAGGCTATGAGGCACTGCGACTACTTGTGCTCCGCACCGGTAAAAATGTGAGGAGAAGGACGCGTGCTGGTTTAAAGTATTACAAGGGTTGTTTGGGTATATGTGGTGGCGCTAAAGCATGGGGAATTACAAGGAATTAAATGGGTGGAGTGAATATGTTTTGAGGGGCGGTCTCTTCGGTGATATGCCCATACCCAACGGTTGTTGAACCGCCGAGTTGAGTTGTAGTCTTTTGAAACGCACTTGATCAAAAGAGCTCGAAAGCCTTCGGGTTCTAGACATCAACTTCCACCACCCATCCACCCATAACAGACTGTCTTTAAAGAATTCTTTATTTTCTTCTACACATCGGCTATAGCAAACATTGAAAGTATTTGAAAATGTACAAATTAAACCTCATAGCACTCTTCGCATTCATCGCGGTCTGCATCGCTCCTCTTTTGGCCGGTAATCCTGCAGTATACCGCACTTTCTTTCAATGTTCAGGAACGCACCCTATCTGTGCCAACACATGGGGAAAACCGGATAACAAGGGTTATTATGACAAAGTCACAGAAGGTCAGTCTAGACGTCTCAGCCCATGATCAAACCATTCAAGACGCCCTCTGATAAATGTCTTGGAATGTATCTACGTACATAGCTTCCCGGGGAGTCGACACGCGATCAAGAGCAAGCAACGGCGCTGTAGAGTGGTCATGTGATAATCAACACAAACACGGCGCGTTTTGTTGTACAGGCCAACTTGTCAGCGTTACATTCTTTTTTGGCATCTAGCATACATCCAAGCTGACAACTCATCATCACCTTGATCAATGATTTTATAGGATGAGGAAATTGATCAAGCCACCAATTGCTATAAGGTCAAACCTGGAAATCAATAAAATCGATGACATCGAGTATCATAAAAATTGAATGGTGTCTGAATACGGATTCGAAATCAATATCATTTATGCAATTATAAGATCACGAGTCCGATACATGATTATGAGTTCGATAGCTTTGCTGCAACGCAGGCGTAGTGAGACCCATGTAATATTTGACTTCGAGGATGTGGCCGCGAGGGAAGAGGGCTTAGCTAAGCTTACTTCTGGCTGCTCGAAAGTTATCTATAAAAAGATGCCAATCCAATTTTCAAAGAAAGAAAGACCTTTGCTCTCCTTTGCTACCTGATTGCATAGTGAGCGATGTTGAAATCACTAATACTATAATATGTACGTGTTATGGCGGGTGCGGCTATCTAGGCGGGTCTTGTCAGACGCGTTGCGGTCTTGTGGTCGGACTACCCGCTCTTGAGTATCTGCACCTTCTCAGCCAGGCTGCCAGCTGGACGTGTTTGAAAAACTTTAAGAATCGAGTGAGAGTGAGCTGAGTGAGTGCTCAAAATTATTCGAGGGTCTCGGTGTCTCATTTAGTTATCCATGAAGATAACCCATCATTGCGTTCGGACTATCAATCGATCACCATAACCTGTAAAGCAAAGCGAGATCGCACTTCAAACGAAATACGCTTACAACCCTATCACCAACCTGAAAAGCACGGATGTGCTCATGGAAGCTCCTCAAGTAGATCAGCAAGTCGAACCACGCTTTCTATCGACTGACATTCAACGTCTTCCCACTTTCTTTTGCAAGTCAGTCGCAACTGTCTACACCACCTGCTCTTCTCTCGTCATGCCTTCGAACGCCGTTGCCGGATTTCCTCTTGATGAAATCGAGAGTCAGCTTAATAAAGATGAATGGAGGATTCGCAAAGAGTATCTTAGTGATGGGCGTAGTAAAGTAGAGTGTTGGATTCAAGGGGTCGGATGGCCGGGCAAAACATTTTGCGTTTGTGGTTGGCTCATCGGCATAGATCGTAGAGAGTTTTGGCTGACTTATTATAGTGAGCTATGTTTTACGTATGTCATTGTCTTCCTTTCGAGTTAATCTTTTCTGCTGATCCATAGGCCTCGTTCATTGACCATGTTCTTAGTTGATGACGGTACGGCTATCTTAGAATGCCGGATTGCTATAAAACAGCTTCAGGATATCGATAGCTGCCGAAACGCGCCAAATCAACCTATCACAAGTCCTGAAAATTCAGACATGCCGACAATGGAGACGGAAGAACTAGGACATATCTCCAAAACATCAGATCCTAAACTTGATCCTTATCGTAGACCGCCAAAACCCGCGAAGAAAACATCGACTCATCGGGACAAACTGCTTCCGGCCAATCTGACAATCCCTATTCTTACCGACATTGAAGTGCTCATTGAAAAATACCTGCATATCCCAATAGGTACTACTTTGCGTATTTCTGGTCACCCACGAGAGGTATACAACGGTAGGACACGCATTTTAGAAGTTGATCGCTTCTCATCGCTCGATGACCCCAACGAGGAGATCCGATTTCGCAAGCATCTCATCCATTCTCGTCGTCATGTTTACAATCGTTTGTTCCGGTTGAAAGACATATGTCCAGAAGCTCTGGCTCAGCCTCAAGAATCATCAAAGCGAAACATCACTTGTGTTTCGCAAACAAATGAATCTAATACTGAGGACACAAGCAAGTCGATCAAGACATCTGCAAGCCAATCAAAGGTCAGTGACGCACCCTGATCATTTTGATCGTAACTCTGATGTTAGTTGGCCTTTCTTTTTTGCACTCTAGCGTCTTCGATTACGCAAAGTGGAGGCTATCAAACCCGAGGAAGCTACCTTTTCACTCTTTCTTACATATCTCGCACATCATATCACGAAGACTTGCTCCACTCCGAAACCTCGTACCAAGCCTGGGCATCTCCCCCCTCCCAAACCAAAGGAAACGGCTGTATTCACAATATCAGACTTGACTGAAAACTCCGAATTGAGGTCTCTTCTCGTCAAGGTGATTCATAAGAAGGAATATGAGCAACGAGCAACGAGCAGACCGTCCGAAAACTCTAGTACTTCAAATTCACGTCTAGTTGGCCCTAAAGCCAAACCAAGCTTATTGATGAATGCCCAAACCAAGGAGCTACATAAGGATGCGAAGACGACAAAGGAATCTGATAGTTGTACATCTGTTTCCTCCATGGCCGATTTAGCATCTTTCACAAGTAAATTGACAAGTCAAGAGCTAGAGCAACAGATCAAGGCTCAATTCCGCAAGGCGATGCATAGACTAACCGTAAGAGGGATTGTGATTATATCACCTGAATTTGAAGATAAATTTACAATTCCAGATTTACATAGTCTCGGGAAATTTTTAAGGAACATCTTAAACCAATCCTCAGGATCAACTCGTAAAGTGAATGGTTTCAATCAATTTTTCAAATTAGAAACCATCATGTCTAGATTAAAAAGAGATGAAATGTGGAAATGGATACATGAAGATAAAGTATCAGAAGTTTTAGAAGGGATGATTGAGCTTGGTGAAGTTTGTAAAATCTTTGATGGATTGGATTGGAAATGGTCATTAAAAGAGGTTGTCCTTGTTGAATGAATTAAGATTATTATATATCTTTGTATACATCGTCGTTTCTGTTTTTTTTCTTCTGGTCTTGCATCTTCGTCTTTGGAAAAGAAACTTATACATTCATGTAATTATCATCATGTATCTCATACCAATTTCATGAGTACCACCTCGATTCAAAGATAGTAATCAAACTAAAGAACGCATACTCTCCCTGTATCACTTGAGCCTCACTAGAAATATCAAGGCGTGAGAAACCTAGTCAGTTTCCTAGCCTCTTGCTCAAGGCACGCTGAGCTAGATTCGTCCATGGATAGAGTAACTTCATAGTGACATGTAAACTAAAAGGGGAAGTGTAAATGAAATGAAGAACCCAAGGAAGATCCCATGGTATTACGAATGGGATGATTGACCGAAATAGAGACACAGGTTTCGAAGGCAATGACCTGATGATACTTCTTCCTCGTCTTCCCTTTTCCCTTTACACTCCATCTCATTTATCTCTCATTTTCCTTTACCTTACTCTATCCATTAGTTACAATTATTATTATCGACAAGTACAACTAACTTGTCTATAATCCTTTACCAACAAACAAATTTTCTATTATTTTATTTTATTAAGTTTACACCTTATCAGATTCACAACTTATCTTATAACAACTCTTATTATAACTTATCGTATAACTAATCTTACTATAACTTATCGTTTACTAACCGAATTTCCCTGAAGTAATCCTCTTCTAATTCAAACACCTAATTACCGACAAAAGACATCTATCTGAGTTAAACATCCCTCATTACAATCATTCCAACAAAGATGACTAAGAGCTCAATCACGTCGAAGGCGATTAGGGCGAGCCGTCGAGTCCAGGGTCTGGAAGTTAGCCCCGAGGGGGATACAGGTACCTTAGGAGTTAACGTAGCAGGACCGTCAAACTCTGAACCAAACCTCATTTCAACTAACGACCACCAAGAGGACGATGACGAACAATCCAAGACAGACGACGACACAAATGAATTAGGAGACCAGCCAGAACTCAACGAGAAAGGCCAACCAGATCCATCGAAAGATAAGCGTAAACTGGATCCCCCACAAAGCCATAATTACTCGAATTTCATCGGAAACGTTCCCATTCCTTTCCCGGCAGAGACGAACCCTCTATTCAACGCGACAATCAGAGTTCCCAAAGGCAAAGAACGAGCGGAACGATCCTCTTCCGATATAGACGACTTAGCAGGTGACTTTGTGGATGACGATTACGAATCAGGAGGAACCTCAGACGAACTAGAAGTTGAAGAATTAGAAGATCACCAAGGATCGTCCCCTTCCTTAGGATCTTCAAACGGAGAGGAAGAACCAGACAGCTCAAGCTCCAGCTCCGATTCAGACAGCGAAGGAAGCGAAGAAGATTCGTCTTCAGAGAGCGGATCAGAAGACTCAGAAAGAGAAGTAAAGAAAGGTAAGAAAGTCTATAACCATCAAAGACCTTTAATAAGCTATACTCCACATCCTCCCTAAGAAAAGGGAAAGAACTTCTCCCCATCCCCTACTACACTCTTCCAAAAATACCACTCCAAATTCCACTTTTTGATCTCGTTCGATGAATCACGATTCTATCATCCATCTATGTTACTCGGTGACGATTGATTCTCCCGGAAAGCTCCCAAGAAGGGTAGAGCGCCCCTCTGAATAAGAAGGAAGAGATACGTATAGAGATATCTGCCTTTTTATGGCGTTAGTGGATGACCAGTCCAGATAACAGATGTGGCAGAAAAAGCATCGCATAGTCAAAAGACGATGAAAGAGCTATCCATTAACTTGAGAAAATGATTCTCTTCCTCTTCGAAACAGATAAGAAACGGAAACGCACATCAAAGTTGAAGAAGAAACTAGAAGATGCAAAGAATGAAATCAAACGTTTAGGCAAGATAGCTAACATTAAACCATCGAAGGAGACTAAGAAATCAAAGAGAAGAACGAAGAAGGATACTGAGAAAAAGAAACGAAGCAAGAAGAATGGAATACAAGTGAACATCGGCGTAATTCCAAAGTCAGACTAGATCCAACTACAGCCATTTTGGAGGAAACAAATGAAAAAGTTAGAGTCATCCATCCCCTTGACAGTATTCGATCAAAGTTTCGCGCTAGCAGACAAGGAAGAATACAAAAGACAACATCATTTGTCATCGTCGAAAACTTCAAAAAACAAAGGTTTAGAGGCACCATCCGAGTTCAAAATGACTTACGGAGAGTGGACAGAGAACATCAGCCTCTTCAAGCGTTACTTGATCCAACATAAGCAGAAAGAAGTAGCAGAAAGACTCAACTTCCACATCAAAAACGTAAAGCAAGTCAAGTGAGTAAATCTGACCACTTACAAAATAGAGAAAAGACAATGACTGACAGGAAGACGGATAACAGGAGAGCGACAGAGTGTTGGATGACAGCACTGCGTTACGACATACTGTGCAGACAACACATCTTTATAGAAAGATTAAACAAAGAGCCGATAAAAGATATCGGTACATTCATGAAGAAATACGAAGACAAAGCCAAAGACAAGTCATTGAACTTTGGAGAGGCGAACGGAGGTGAAACGAACCCTTACGCGAAGGGAGGTAAACTAGAATGGAGACACCCCGAGACTGATTTAGCATTGTGAGTAGAGAAGGATTCTTAACGTTAGAAGAAGAAAGAAGCCTAAAAAGATACATATTGTAGAAATCACAATTCGGCAACCGAGAACCAACTGACAGCATCTGGCTCCAGAGATTTCAACAATGACTTTCATAGGAAAAGAAGAGGTCCACGCCCAAACAGAAATTTCTCATACGGAGCAAGACCAGGATTCAACCAGTACAACAGGGGACCAAACTTTAGCCACAACGTCCCGTTTCATCAGAATCAACTACCGACAATCCACATGGGCTTCCCTAGTCAAGGACAATCAAACTCAAACCAAGCACCGGTGAACGTCGGCCTGACCTCGATCCCAAACGTCGCTACAAACAACAATACACAGCCAAACAATTACAACAATTACCAAGGAAGAGGAGCAAGAGGTACCTGGAGAGGTACGAGAGGAGGAGTAGGCAGAGGTGTGGGAAGACAGGTACAGAATGAGACGTGAGTGTAAAACCGAGAGCCTGTTTCAGATTTCAATTACCACCACGCTCGTTAAGCTATACCAAATTATTTCACTACATCAACTTTTATTTCAAAGTCACTCCTTGTTTAACTTAATTTCATAATTCCAATTGTAACGCCTTTAAGCTTTAGAAATTTCAAGACACTCCTTTTAATTATCTTGTACCCATGAAGCTTGAAATGAATTCTTATGTCAAATCTGCTTCGTAATAGGAATTACACGGACAATGAAAGAACTGAAATAAAAGAAAGAGAGAAGGAGAAGCCAAAAGAACGAGCAGGAGTGAAAATATCTTGGCCTACTAAAGCAAAATGTAGCATGGTGATAGAGAAATGGGAAGAAGAGCTAAAGAAATATAGCTTACTACCATTTTATGATTTTGTACTAGACGGATTCTGAAATGGTTTCGACCAAGGAATTCCACACCACGCAATTGGTGGAATGAAATATTATTGTCCACCAAACCACAAATCAGCTCAGCTAGCGAGAGACAAGATCAAAAAAAGCATAGAAGAGGAAGTATTGGCAGGTAGGATGATAGGTCCTTTCACGAAAGAAGAGGTAGCAAAGCACTTTAAATTCTTTCGATCAAGTCCAATGGGAGCCGTAATAAACGGCGATGGATCATTTAGGCCGATAAATGATCTATCATTCCCAAAAGACGATCCAATGATACCTAGCGTAAACTCCTATGTGAACCAGGACGAATTCAAGACAACATGGGATAACTTTTCAAGAGTATATTCTTTCATTGCAAATTCAGAAGACGAGCTACTAATAGCATTATTCGACTGGCTGAAAGCATATAGACAGATTCCGACAAGGCCGGATCAATGGCCATACCTATTAATTATGGATTTTGAAGAGAAGATGTACATAGATTTATTTATTTCCTTTGGAGGAGTAGCAGGATGTGGAAGCTTTGGAGGTCCAGCAGACGCGTGGAAGGATTTAATAAAAGAAGAATTTAAACTAGAAGAAGCATTCAGATGGGTAGATGATAATCTGCTCATAAAGAGATCAGATTCAATGGTGCACATGGACGAGATAGTCAAATATAGCTCTAGCTTAGGAGTTAAAACAAATGAAACGAAATTCTCACATTTCAGTGAACAACAAAAGTATATAGGTTTTCTATGGAATACGAAAAACAGGACCGTGGAACTACCGAAAGGAAAATTAGAACAAAGAACAGAACAATTAGAATCATTCTTGAAGAAAGTAGATTATACACATAAGGAAGTTCAAAAGATGAATGGCCGACTCAATCATGTAGCTTACATTGCTCCACACATGAGATGCTACCTATCAAACAACTATCGATGGCTAGCAGAGTGGATGAACGTAGCAGCCAAAAGGAAAATGCCAATAGCAGTTCGAGAGGACATGAATGTGTGGAGAGATGCGCTAAAGAAAATCCCTCGTAGACACCTTCTGAAAACCAGACCAATCAACAATATTGGCTGGGTAGGCGACGCCTCGACGACGTTTGGTATAGGCGTGATAATAGGGAAGAACTGGGGTCAGTTCAAACTGAAGACAGGATGGGAAAATCCTCCCAATAGGCCAAGGAGGGGAATTGCATGGTTGGAAACCGTAGCAGTCCGCCTAGGACTAATCATGGTAAAGAAATTAAAAGATATAAAAGAAGAGCGATTGCTAGTGCTGACCGACAATACGACTACTGAAGGTGTTCTGCGGAAAGAAAGATCGAGGGATTATTGGGTGAACAAAGAGTGGAAGGAAATTTCCGAGCTCCTATTCCAATACGACGTCCAGTTAGAGCAGAGAAGGGTGACGTCAGTGGATAACACGGCAGACAAGTTATCTCGCGGCATACCCTCGTCAAAGGAGTAGTTCAGGCAGGTGCATATTGAAGTCCCGGATGACTTAAAGACGTGGTTGGAAGACGTGACGCTCGATCAGGTAGAAGAAAAAGGCATAGTAAGTTTTGCAGGTCAAGTGGTAGCAGAAGCCAAAAATGATTGCATCAAGACTAATTGAGCCAATTGTCAGACAGGAGTGGGAACTAACCAGACGGGTCAGGAGTACTCCAAATGCGACGCTTGATTCGCAGCTCAAGATGGTAGAAGTTTCCCACCAAGAAAAGAGACGAAGTAGGTGCTAGATGTGACTATTCTGTTGTAAACGATCTTGATGTTGCAACTTCTCACTCCCAGATCCATGTTTAAATTTCACCCAGCATCTCATCATCCCACTTAACTTTAACCTCTCATCATTCCACTTGACCTTTTCGGTTAGACCATATAACAAATTATCACCTGTACCCTCATCAACCAACTTAACTTTCTTCTCTTCAACCAATTAACGCCCAACCACACCTTTGTCAACCCTCCAACCAGAACTGTCCGGAACTGTCGCAGAAATCCATTTTGATCGAGTTTACACTCTCTACAACACTTGTTGGCCGCATAAGATATCCATCGAGTGAGTAATAAGGAACACAGCGCGTGAATGAGTCGAGTAACAGTGACGAACAAAGCGATATAATTGCGGTTTTAACAGACACGACCGATACCCAGAATCCACATACCAATATTGGTCGCGACTTGACGACACAGAAACATGAAAGATATCTCTACCTTCTTACGAATCGATGATAACGTTCCTCTTCGACTGAACACGGCACAGTGTCATATGCTGAGAGCAGCATGGAACAGATCAACCCTCAAGTCATATGCCTCCGGAGTCAAAAAGTTCAAACGGTTTACAAAAGAGAAGAAGCTAGTAACCTTTCCGGCCACGGTAGAGGTAGTGGAGAACTTTATAGTGTGGGCAGGAGAGAACGAAGACAAGAAGGCCACAAACAAGCCAGTCAGAGTGACCACGATCAGGAAGTACCTTACCGCCTTACGGACGTGGCATGCCTTTCACGGGTACTACTTTCCCGACATCCAACTCACTCGCCTGAAATCAATAATACGAGCATCGGAAAGACTAGAAGCAAAAGTTCCCTTCACGAAGCTTGAGAGAGAACCAGTAACTCCGAAGGCCCTAGTAATCTTAGTGGGGAGCATAGCAGAGCACGAAGCCGACCCTGTCGGGTTGACCGCACTCGCCCTCACAGCCTATTGGGGGCTAGCACGCCTAGGAGAGCTTGTTTGTAAAGAGGAAGCATACAACAAATACGATCTAACCGCAATCCTTAGATGCGAAATATCTTTCCACGAGTCAAAAGGGACGAAGATCGCCGTGATAGCATTACGGGAAACAAAGACCGCCAAACCGGGTGAAACTCAGCAACTAGTTCTTCGCGAGACACGTGGAGTCTTATGCCCCGTAGCAGCCCTCCAACAACTGACAGAGTCCTTCCTATGGGAGAAGGATCAGAGGCTGTTTTTGACTCACAAACCTAACGGCTTATCGGGCATCACTCGGAAGAAAATGCTAGACGTTATGATGAAAGCCTGGGGGCAGAAATCCAGGATGACTGGCCACTCTTTCCGGATCGGGGGAGCAACACTTCTAACGAGAGCAGGGGTACGCACAGAGAAGATCAAAGCTCTGGGTCGTTGGACATCATCCTGTCACACTCTCTACCAAAGGAATTGGAACGACCGCGAATGGGAATCGGCCAAACACGCGCTAGAGATCTCAGAGGATGTTATACCTTGCTTCGAGACTTCACATGACCTGTCCACGACGACATGGGTTCATAATCCCCTATTAGACCATCCACCAGCCGAGTGGATCAAGGACAACACTCTCCAACGCGGTAGCAAACCTTAAGTCCCGTCGACCAGTCGACTCCTCCGTCTATCTAGTGACTCAGTCACAACCAGCCTTTCATAAGATCTCCCATTTTCTCGTGGGTCGACTTTTCAATGTTTTCCTTTGTTTTTTCGTTCTTTGTTCGAGTATGCCACACCAATACATAAGTCCTATCACCTCAGGTACCTTGCTTGACATACGCTGTCACAACACATCTACTGACAACCCAAAAACACAAACACGTCTAGCGTCAGGTATAGGGGAAGCCCGCCAGGCTCAGGCCTGACCCCAGACCAGAGAAAGGGGAGTCGTCCTTCCCCTACAAGACACCCAAGACACTTACCGTACCTCTCCAAACGGAGAGTTTAAGTCATCGCTGAAGTCTCCACAAGAGACGCCTTTGAGAGCCTCCTCTAAAAACCGAGTCCCGCCTAGAGGAGAGTTCAAGAGTAATGAGAACTATCCTTGACAGCGGAACTCAACTCCCGCTATAATACTTTCCCTCACCTATGCTTAAGCTAGGCAAGGGAAAGATACAATTAACTCTTTGTATAATGACTTGATGTTATAATTTGAAATGGAACTCACCGACCCATCTAATTTTCGCGTCTTCTGAGATTCCGAAATTTTTCTCTTCGCATATTTCACTCCAAATGTTATGAGGTCAAACAATACATCAGAAACTACTTGCATTTGTCTTTTAGGTGTTTCTATTCTCAGATACTGCTAGCTGGGGCCTGTGGGTTTCACAGAAGCAACAAGCCAATGAGTAACTCCACTCAGACACCCGCCCTGTGGTATCGGGTTCTGGGGTGCTAGTTCATGCTCTCTTCTTCTATATTATATATTTTTGTTTAGGCAATCTCCCAACGTGTCGGTGGCCATTGCGACTTGAGAATCTCTTGTCCAGGGCCAAACCCCTTAGGGAGAAGGCAATCACCGTCGTCATTTTGGCTAGACACCTTCGAATCTTTCCAATCATCAGTGGATATGTTGGTAGGACTGTCCTCGACCACGCGTCGAACCAGGACTCCCGGTTCGAAGCGTCAGGTGGAGTCATGCGCGAGGTATCACAGTATAAATGTGGCGATGGGGGTAGCAAAATTTTAGGATATTGCAGTGGCGAAACTGAAATTTATTCCTCCGAGTAGGAGTCAGGAGACTACCCAATCCAACACTCTATCATGGTATTTTTCTGTTTGTATTTTTGTTTTGATCCTTACGATCTTGACTCTCTTTTCACTCTTGATCTTTATAATCCTCACTGTGCACTTTCCAACTCTTCAATCCCTGTAGGCCTACGTCGGTTGTAACATATAATCCATTATAACACAGGTGCAGCAGGTTTTTGTTCGAAAAGGTGTGCAAAAATAGGTTGAGCTTGAAAGCCGTAGTTCAATTCAACTTTGAGATCTTGAAAGTTGAAATGTGGCGTCTGCTCAGCAGCGCGCAATTTACGAACAAAAGGGTTGCAGCCCGGTGTCACTTTTGAGGCTTGGGATACTTTTTTGCCGGGCTATAAAGTTATGTGAACTTCTATAACAAAAGGTGAAAAATCACATGGTCCTGCGGCTTCTGTGCCAGTGGGTCAGTGCGCTTGTAATATATTATAATTCAAAGAATCAGGTGTTTACGATCAATTGAGCGCTGGCTAATTACTATCTCCTCTTGTGGCCGTGATTTTCAGAAGCAAGTGAAGCCATCAAGGCTTTCCAGACATTGATAATACCTGGAACACCCAAGTCATCGCAGAAACTCGACAGACTAGTGTTGAGGTTGAGAATCCTTGGTATAAAAAGCAAACTCATCAAGCACTAGACACGTCAATTACCTCCACCCATCAACCCCCAAAGTACCGTCTTGAAGACACACACTCTTTTTCTACGTATAGGCTACCTCTGGCTACCTATAGAAAATATAGAACACATTAAGGAGCATGTACAAATTAAACCTCTTAGCACTGTTGATGTTGCTGGTTGTCAAGCCTTCGATGTCAGGATTTCTCTACAGTTATTTTACGTGTGAAGGACTACGCGAACACGCCGTCTGTGTCAGCTCATGGAGCACATTGAACAAAGACAAAATTTGTTCTACAGTCTCGGGTGGTCAGTCTAGATGTCTCAGCCCTTGATCAGACTAATCAAGATATTAATTTTCTTGATTGTGACGAACGTCTTGGCATCTAGTCTCCGAGGCAGGTAACGCGGGTTCGACAACGGGAAAAAACAACGCTGTGGAGTGGACATGTGATTATCTATACAAAGCTGGCGCCTTTTGTTGTGAATCTCGTACTGTGAGTCATGTTTATTTTTTCATGTAGCACCGTGGAATGCCCAAGCTGACAACTAACAATCACCTCAATGATCTTATTGGATAAGGTAAATGGTCAAGCTTTCAATTGCCTCAAGGTCGCACCTTATGGCAAATAAAGTTGCTCCACATCATTGAGGACATGGAAAATTGAAGACGATTCATGCAATATCAGCTATCTATATAAGTTACATGATTACGATAGCCTTCAATGCAGACGTAGTGAGACCAATGTTTATTTGATCTCTGGCTGTTCGAAGGTGATCTTTGTCAAGTTATAAATTTTGAAGAAAAGGACCTTTGCTAGTGATGCAGCTAATGGTGGCCGGGTCTCACCACGAGCCGCTGAATGAATATCATTCATGGCTAGTTTTTCAGAACACAGCTCAAGGACATTAAATGCAAAGCTTATTTGCCCCTCAAGGGTTACAAATTCCACAAGATCAAAAAACAAAAAAGGTGCATGGGAACGATTCCAGGACGTTGGATAATGTAGATGACATTCTATCTTGCATAAGTGAAAAATGATCTATTGCCAGTGTATCATACATAGCTGTTCTTTAAATATTAAAACCCAGGAGTGATTGCCCCAGATCTTCCAACGAGTTTGACTTATAAGCTCATGCACGGTGGGGTTTCTTGAAGCTGTTATAACAGGGAAGACATCAGAGAAAGTTCACTTGAGCAATCGCATATATTATCTCGACAGTCATAGAAAACAATTCAGAGGTACTCACACATTACCAATATACTTTCCAATTCTTTTCAACCATCCGAAAATCCCTTTGACAGTGTAAATATAACCATATTGAGCTTTGTATCCGAGCCTCTTTAAAAAGTTACTAGTTGATATCTTGCGGTTCAAAAGCCTCAATCCGATCTCTCCTTTTCCTAAAAATCTAGTGTAAATATTGAGGAGTGCTCGAAGCTCGTCATGGTCTTGTTTTAAGATTTCGAGATCCTCAGCAGGAAGATAATTGGGCTCGGATTTAAGCTTAGCCAATAGTTTTCCAAGTTGGAAGACATGATGATCGGATAAACCATTGCTCAACGCTAGTAACCTCAGCTGCGCTTCCTCTGCTTCGTTTAATGCTTGACCGTCTGTAAACTTCTTGACCACTTCGTCCACATTGTCCAAGAGTTTCTTCATCATGTAAGTATACTGCTTAGTCTTTGGATCTTCCAAGCTCCCAAATTTGAGACTGTCGATGTACTCGTGAGAACTGGTAGACAAGCCCCATCTTCCGGCTGATCCTTCACCCGCCTTGATCCTCGTCGTATATGGCTTGTTAAGTTGAGTAGGTTGACCGAGAATTTCAATGAGCTGTTGAATCTTTTTTGATTTTTCTGGCTCAGAGTAGGCATGAGCGGTTGTGGGATCGTGAAGTACTTCTCGAATTCTTACATACATCGGGAAACTATGATCTTCTTTTTCAGTTTCCAGCGCATTCTTCATTTCTTCCAAATCCCACCAGATCAAAGAGTCGCCTTCAGCATTGGATTTTCTTCGATTCGCCTCTAACTGAGCTCGCTCAAGACTAAATAAGATGTTTTCAAACCTCTCGAGTAATGCATCCCCATCATCTTGTGTCTTGAACCATTTGATAAGTTCATCTTTCTCATGTGGAGTAGGTACAAACCCGATGCGTTCAATCCACTGGTCAACATTCTTATTGTCAATCAATGAATGAGGTCCAGGTTGACTAAGTTGAGTTTTGTAAAAGTTGAAATTTTCTCCTTCAAACTTCCAGTCTTTCCAAAGGCCGTCACTTTCAACAACCTTCACAGCCTGTTTTACGGTGTGACCCCCACAGCCTCCATGTCGCTTGCAAAGCGTATGACTCTTTACCTCCCTGATGTCCGATGATTTATCTCCAACGTCGGCCGCGGTGGTGTAAGCAACGCCTTCGTCTTTGGGGACGGTGTCAATGAATGTTTCGGAAGCTTTGGAGATGAGGTTTCTACGGGCGATTGTGAGGTGAGTTGAATATGACGATGTTGCACCAGAGACCGGGGATTGTGCGATATGACAATGTGCACTCAGTGCAATGGTGAGTGTATATACGAGCGATAAATATAAGGTGACTCCGCAAACCATTCTCGAATGTTGCACGGATGGATGGATAGCCTGATGTCAGGTGGGTCAGTGCTAATGACGAGTTGTAAATTGTTCAAAGGGCAGTTTGAGCAGTTTCGTTACTTTGAAGGGTATATCATAGATTTTAGATGCTCAAAACAGATTTGCAAACGGGCCAAGTCGGACGATCATTGGCCTACTCTTAACCAGCATTTTTAACACATTTTACGTGCGCCAGCGAGGATGGGCCGTAAAGTGTACCTCTCCTCCTCGGAGGTAGCTGGAACCAACTTTTGGCACATTACATGAGGTCCATAATGATCTAACGCAGTGAAACAGCAGTCTTTTGCAATGGATAAGTGCCTTACAGGTCCTCAGACTGGCCATGAATCCACGTTAAGCCTGATTGATCCATAAGATTACGTATGCTAGCAGCTATACTCGCTCTCGTGAAGTGACAAGCAAATCTTGCATGTACCCTCGAGGTTATCGTCATCAGGGCATCGAGCTACATAACCGGTCGAGTGAACGTACTACACCACGTCAATCCCTACTCAGCCCTGCTGTCTGTGTTGCAATACAGGATTGCAAACCCCAGCTCACCGCTCTCCATGGCAAGGTAGAGGATGCGGGTCCCCGAATATGTAAGGCCGCACGATGCACACAAACGTCGTGGATGGAGCAAAAGCAAGGCAACCGACCGGATGGAGTTCATGGCTTGCTATCGAGAAAAGTTTGTTGACTCAGCAGCACGACAATCGTAGTGTGCAAAGATGAACCAGCTTATTTACATCTGCAGCAAGTTCAGGTATGCGGGGCACTAAGCAAATTCATCTCGTCCAGATGCCTTCCATCAATCGCATTACAACGGAGGAAATGCGTGGATAGCCCCGCCAGGCTGGTGTCTTTCCCAACTGATTAATTTTCCATTCATCACTGGAAATCCAAAGCAGACTACGTGTGCACATGAAGGCTAAGCTGACAGCTCTCAGGCTAGTATGATGCTTGCTGTGTGTAGCATGTCGGGTCGCAATAGAACTTAGACTATCATGGATTGGGTTCTATTTATACGTTGCTGATAAAAACCTCATCAACCAACCTCGCTCATGATGGCCAATCACTGACAATGATTATTACTTGTGAGATTCAAGTCATCAGCTTTAATGAAAGCTGCACACTTATCGAAATAGGATGAGAACGATTTGATGAAATGAGATTGTGACGAAACGAAATGTTTAAGTTCGAGAAGAGAAAAGGAGAATGGTAAAGAGCATATGAGACCTTTTATATATCGAAATAACACGTTGACGTCATATTGACCTATCACAAGTGTATGATGTCATGAAAGAAAGAAATAACTGAGTGTTAATAAGCCAATAAGATCACATGCATACTTCAATTCAATCTTCGTCAAAATTTCGAAATTCACACTCATGGAGCCTTTCGAGAACATTGAGAAGTGAATGAACAGAACACACGGCCAGTAAATACACAAGCATGGATGCTTGTTTTCGGTGACTCGGAACAACGCTGTTTTATTGTTGGTCTCAATCGCACTTATAAGCTATGTATCCATCCTCATAGTAACCGATTCGTACTCAAAATCAAGTTCCGCTCACAGGCGAAGTAGAAAGCAAAGACAATTCTGTCTAGATTAGACTATAATATTTAATATTTGATTGTAGTAATGAATGAATGAATGACAAAAAAACGAAAGGCAAGCCGTGAAAATGATTGTTGTCCGCTTGAGAGAAAAAAAATGAAATTTGAAAGGTCCCCAATGAAAAAATAAATAAATTAAGCGGTAGGGTAATTTTCCGAGGGACTTTCTCCTGTGACACTTTGCTCAACGTTTGTCACGGTTTGGTCAATATGCTTGTCATCTCCACTAAGAGAATGTAGAAGGGAAGATCACATCAGCCATCTCAAACGCTTTTTTTTCACAGAGGAGAGAAATGCATACATTGATAGATCATGGAGGAGTTTGTTATCGGTGACGCTTTTGAGAATGTCGTTACCGTTGAGAAGGTTGTTTCCTACGTTGCTCGTCTCAAGTTTGTTACAGGCAAGCAGACCATTGCAGTTCCCATCATTCGAAGGAATCGGAGAAGAGTTAACAACTACAGAAAAAGCAACACGAGTCAAAATTAGAGTCCGAAGAGGTTAATGAATTTGTATCGCTTACGAGAGATACCAGCGATGCAGATAGAAGCAAATAAGTAATTGGAGAAAAGCATCTTGATTGTAAAGTAAAGTAAAGTAGTTGTTTTGAAAGAGGTAGCAGAAAGATCAAAAAAATTAATCGACTTCTCAAAAAGGTGGGATATGACAGTGACTGAGGAATAACAAAAGTAAGTAGGATGATGGGCAATGGTTCACACAAGCTGTTGAGTGGATTTATATGAGAACAAGACTTCCGGTAAGAATTCTTGAGTGGTGCATGGAACTGGTGGCTTAGAAAAAGCTTCTGTTCAAGGGCTTGAAATCCGCCCCACCTGCCCATACAATTTGGTAGGTGACTTGCCCAGGGTGCGGGTTGATGAGGGAGAACAAGTTGAAAATAGGGAAGTTCCTTTCAAGAAACTTCTGGCGTGGCTCCACAATCAAGATGAATTATAGAAGGCTTTCAATTTGTGAGCACCGCGATCGTGAGGCTGTGTCGGTGTGTCTGTAGAGTCAGACGTGGACGCACACTTCTACTCGGTCAAGTGAGGTCAAGTCAGTGGGCAAAGGCCTTTGGAACCAACGTTTGTCCTTTGCCGTGCTCCGCGGCCATTTCTCAACACATTTCAAAAGGCATATAATCCGATCCATCACCGCTCTTGTCTGAAATGTTTGCCGTGCCCACGTCTTTCATGGTCAAATATATGCAGATCTACAAAGATCAATGTGTGGGCGGCTGGGGCCAGTGGGACTGGAACAACTGGGGACGAACAACTGATCGCTTGGGTTATATTTGTTTCTGTTCAGATCACGTATCCATCATTATATGGGCAATTACTGGAAGTAACCAATTGCGCCAGCATGAAGCGTCTCAAATATGTAGAAGGCTTGACTTCAAAACTTAAGTGTAGAAAAGCGGATTGAACAAGCCTCTCAGACCCAATGACTTGAAAGATTGTTGAACACAAGGATAAAGAAATACAAGTGTTGTCTCACACCTAACTTAACTACAGCCGTTGTGAGAATCATCGGTACAGCCCTTTGCATGATTGATGACTTTGGAGAAAAAAAAACCTTGAGTTTTCAACAAAAAAAACCTCGAGTTTTTTCAAAAAGTGACCGAGTTTTTTTGAAAACCTACTGAATTTTCCAAAAACTCATTGACATTTGAAAGTTTCAAGATAAACTCATTGACTTTTTCAAAAACTCGGTAGTTTTTTGAAAAAACTCAGTCACTTTTTAAAAAAACTCAAGGTTTTTTCTTCAAAGTCATGATAGTTTTCCGGAGGAGGCACGACGTAGGTGGGCGGTGTCCACGACTACGAGTAATGTAGTTTAAAGTAATTTAAATTATAATCTATCTTTAATCCACTTCCATTGATCTAGTCCAATCCTTAACATTATAAAGCCTTTTATAACCAGGACCGTCAGGAAATTAAGGGTCCAGACTAGAAATCGAGACCATCTAAATTCAATGCCATGCTGGTCTATTGATTAAGAAAGATAGATTATATAGGAAAAGGTTTTGAGCCTACTAATGTCTGTATCCTTCATCCGCTTATCAATTTAAATTCTTAAACTTTTTAAATCCCTTTTCACTGCTAGATTATCTAACAAATTTTACCATCAAATTTATCAACAAAGTTCTTATAACTTTCTAAGATAATCTAATAATTCCAATTATCAATTTTCAAAATAAAGAGTTTAACCATTTAAATCGTTTTACTATCTCAATCCAGTATTCTTCGAAAATGTCTAACAACGTCATCTCAGAAGTAACCACCGCGCTGAGCGCAGTTACACCTATGAACAACAATATCGAAGCTATATCACAAGGCAACACAAACTCATCCGGCAGTGAAGATTCAAGCGGATCGCAACCTCAAGGATCCTTTGGTAGATACAACAAACAAATGTTAATATCGAATTACCTCAACAGAGGTAAAGGTAAGCAATGTTTTGCTTACCCGATATTCCAACTTAATATGATCTTGTTAGATCAATAGTTAAGAACAAAACACTGACGTGATACAATCTATCTGAAACACTTCTATTTTATCCATAGAAGCAGAAAACCCATCAAAGCAACCTGGAGGTAGCAAAGGGAACAAAGAAAAAGATATTGAAAAAAGTAAGAACAAAATATCTATATCTTGTATAAAGATCGTTAAAATACTAATTCAAACAATCGTTTACAGACCTCGAAAAATCGAAACAAGGAGGGGCAGTAGACACCATCGACATAAACAAAGGTTATAAACAAAATCCTACCTCAAAGGAGAATACATTGAGCCGAATAGAAGCTGAATTTAGGAACATGTTCGGAACCTCAGAGAAGTTGCCACAGATTCAAAAGAAGAAACAAGTGAACGACAAAGAACCAGACGCACCTGACGCCGATCAATCCATTACGAAGAGAGTCAACACAGATCAAAGTTCAGCCGGAATGAACCAAGTCATCGACCTCACAGACAAGGACAAATCGGCTGTATCCTTATTCAATAAAACACATAGTTTCACCAAGAGCTTTAAACTTCGAGAGTCATCTTTTTCAGAGGGCGGCTTGATGTTCGACTTCAGCATAACACCAGACGCAAATGCTCAGTCACTCCCACTTTTCTTCCACAAAAATATGCAGTTGCTACAAGGACAATTACCTTTGACCATATTTAATAGGGCCTGGCAACAAACCGCAAGTGACAATCACGTGGACTATAAGAAAGGTGAAAAAGAGGTAGAGAAGTATCGAGGATACCCTTTCCCAGGGGAGTGGAGTCAGTCACGATTCGAATGGGGTGACAACATGGACAACTTCATCAGCATGTTGCGCGACGACTACAAATTCACCGGCTTTGCCGACGCCATGGAAATCCACAAGAAAAACGTCTACAACATTTTCAAGCAACAAAGATCTTGGGTGATAGCTTTTAAGTATGATCTGACTATTTGAAAAGCAGTATTTGCAGTAAGGAATCCAAATCAAAAAGTCCCGAATCCAGCTCTAGAACCATTAGGCTTAGTCAACGAAATTTTCTACACGGCAAGAGCTCAAGAGGACCTGAACACCGACGATAACCCTTACAGAAAAGGAGGTCCGAAAGCAGGCAAGAATCCGTACTCAGACGTTTTGACCGATACACCGACACCAACTGCACAATCATCGATGATGAAAACATCAGCCGGACCATCTAGAAACTACGTCGACAGGAGAGACAAACAACAGTTCAGAGCGCCGAGTCCTTACGGAAATTATAAAGGAAGAAATTTCAATCCAAACCACAACAAAACAGAGAACCAAAAAGAAAATGTTAAAGGAAAAGGGAAAGAAAAAGAGATGTAGGTCATGATCTATCCAAGATACAACATCTTTTTTATTTTCATCACTTTTTACTGCTTGTAACAGAGATAGTAATTTGTCTAAGGGAGATTCAATAGTGAACACCTTAATGGGGTACTTTTACGTTTTTTGTCAGAATTAACGGAATTTCAATTTTATCCTTTTCACGAAAATCTTCCTCTAAAAAGCCTTATTCTGTATATAGAAAGAAACTCATACCCTGTTTTTTATTCTACCTCTCTTCTTATGAAATTGAAATTGTATAATTGTTCGTCTAGAAAAAGCACAAAGGATCCAATCCCTTATCGCCGCAACTCAGTGACAAGTGAGGAATCAGACTGTTCCTCAATTATTGAATTATCATCCTCAACCTTGACTGACGATGACGTAGTCATGGAGTCGTCGAACCTGATATGGCCCGGAGAAGTATCTTGTGAGATGAATGTGATGGAGTGGGAAAAGGCGTTGAGATCAGCTGGTTTAATCAACGAATATAAAGACATCTTGGAAGGATTCAAGATCGGTTTCGATCAAGGCATCCCACACCATTTCCTAATCAACTGTAAATGGTATACTCCCGAAAACCATTCATCTTCATCATTAGCAAGGGAGAAAATCCTATCAAATATGGTGAAAGAAAAAGCAGCAGGACGCATATTCGGCCCGTTCACGCATGAGGAAGTGTACAGAAGGGTAGGATTCTTCCGGACCAATCCCATGGGCGCAGTAGTTAACGGGGATGGTTCGATAAGGGCAATTAACGATTTGTCTTTTCCAAGAAACAATCCTGATATTCCATCTGTTAATTCATTCGTCAACGCAGATAACTTCAAAACGACTTGGGACGATTTCGCAAGAGTCTCAAAATTCTTTTGAAATACAACATCTCCCCTCCTTCTAGCTATTTTTGATTGGGAAAAGGCTTATCGCCAAATCCCAACAATGAAAGAACAGCAACCATACATGATGGTTTTAGATCCAAACGGGAAAATCTGGTGGGACACAAGGATTGGTTTCGGCGGTGTAGCCGGTTGTGGGTCATTTGGAAGACCAGCAGACGCTTGGAAAGGTATAATGAAACATGAGTTTGACGTTGTAGACATATTCAGGTGGGTAGATGATGCATTATTCATCAAGACGCTAGATTCAAATTTACAAATGGGAGAAGTAGTAAAGAGAAGTTTGGAACTAGGAGTAATAACTAACATTGAGAAAATGTCAGAATTCAAAGAAGAACAAAAGTTTATTGGATTCATATGGAATGGAGTTACAAAAACAGTCAGACTGCCAGAAGAAAAACTAAATCAAAGGAAATCACAAATAGTTGACGCACTAGAACCAAATAAGAGGTTTTCTTTTAACGAAGTGGAAGTATTAACAGGGAGGTTAGTACACGTAACACTGATGCTACCACAACTGAAGTGTTATATGACTTCTTTATACAGATGGAAGAAGAGTTGGCACTTCAAGCACACAACTCAACTACTTCCTCAAGATGTGAAGATGGATCTTTTAAATTGGAAAGGAATGTTAGGAAAATTTGAACACACAAGATTGATCAGATACGAAGACCCAGTCGACATCGGATGGGTAGGCAATGCCTCACCGTCGTATGGAATAGGAGTTTTAATTGGAAAGAAATGGTTCCAAATAAAGCTGAAACCTCAATGGGAAAATTCAGGTACTACAAAGCAAGGTATAGCTTGGTTGGAGACTGTCGCAATCAGGGTAGGTCTGTGGCATATTGTGTCACATGGTAATTATAAAGGAAAGTCAATAATCGTCTGGACAGACAACACGACAAGTCAGAATGCTATAACGAACAGAAGGTCAAATGACCTTGAAGTGAATAGAGAATGGAGGAAGATTCAGGAAATCTTAATATCTTGTCAAATGGATCTAATAGCTAAAAGAGTAGTATCAAAGAGAAATATAGCAGATGACATTTCAAGAGGCGAAAACGAAGAGCACGATAAAGATGAAGCAGACAGAGCATGGACCTCACTACCTTCTGATTTGGTGAATTGTTTCACACAGAACAAGGTAAAAGGAGGAGAGTGCGAAGCTTTAAAGAGGCAATTCCCAGGTCTCAATTGTAACTAAGTGTATAAAAACATTTAGATGATTTTTGTGATGTACTATTGATGAAACTTGTATTTAAACCAAAACTGAGAATTGTATGATGGAAAAAATTGAAAATTTTCTTTGATCTGTAAGATAATTCTAAAGAATTCTAATCCCTGTCCCTGAGACCCAACCGAATTGAGATCCTCGAAAATTTGACACTAAGAGTTGACTTGAAAGATATTTTGTAGGACATTGATCTAAATGCCAAATTTGATGAGGTTCCCATTTCTAACCGAATTGGGATCCTCAAACTTAACAAGGTTCTCATTTCTGACCGAATTGAGATCCTTGAAAATTTGACACTAAGAGTTGACTTGAAAGATACTGTGATGTTGATATGAGATCGATTGTTGATGATGTTGATTTGAGATCGATTGTTGATGAGGTGATTGTGAGGTGAGGTGAGTCTGAGGAGTTGATCGATGATTACATTTGAAAATTGGGTCAATTCTAAAATTGATCAGTCCCGGACGACATCAGTACAACTACATATGTGTGCACAATGCATAGCACAACAACCTCAGCGCATAGCACATAAGCACAAAGTGCATAGTGCACAACACATAGTACATAGCACATAGTGTGGTCCTCAATCGCTCATCAGGGACACCATATAAGCCAATCAAAATGAGAGAGTTTAATATTTTGAATCATCAACCTCATTTCAACCTTATCAAACCACTCAATCAATTTAAAAAAAAATCCAACTCAAATCAATTATATGGATTCACAAAGGCTTGATCAATTTGATTCATTCCCAAACAAATACCAAGTTATCACATGATAATCTTTTACGTCAGGTAAGCCTCACTTTTTCTTCAGCTCTCAAACATAAATTTACGAAACACTGCCAAATGTCTTGTTCCACATGTTAGTGATCAAACTTTCCACCTGTAAGTGCGAATTAATCAGAAGTCATCAACTCACAACCTTTCAAGTATAAAATAACAAATCATGAATGGTAAACTTATAATCTTGATATTCCTTGATTTTAGGTATATGCATCATTCTCAAAATCAACTCAATCAAAATATTCAATTGATCAACTGAAATTGAGTTGAAAATTTACATGAATCATTTAAAATTGTTTCAAGAAAATTGGAATTCATCCAAGTAGTTGATTGATAGTACAAAACTTTGGATCCAAGCTCAATTTTCACTGGTGTTAATTTACATCTTCTGACCTTGAACATGCTAAGGTTGTTTTTCTCAACATTATGTTTGGAAACAAAAGAACTGATGTCCTGTTTTCTTTAAAAGATGTATCTGATACTTGTTGGTGGGTGGGTGTTTCTCCATGGTTTTTATTCAAAGGTTTTAGATTCAAAACTAATTGACAAAGTAAGTAAACCAATTCCTTTACCCAATACCAGTGCTACCCATTCCTCAGACTATGTATTTTTGCTGTATCTTTCCTTTTTGAATGCTTACAATTATTTTGTTGACTTCTTCAAGTCTATAACCATTTGATTCATTTTGAAGCCAATCCTTGATTTTGATAGTTAAGTTGATTGTCATGAAAGGAATTCTAAAAGTCATGAAGATATGAGATTTGAAGCCAGATTACTTTTTCTTTGTAGAGTTTGAATATCAAATGAACAAATCACTAATTGATTTGTCATTGGATCACCTGTATCCCTTCTAGCTGACCTCAAAAAGATTGATTCCATTTTAAAATTCAACATCTCATCAAAATTGTCTAAATTGGAATTGATCACATTTAGATTTGTCTTTTGTAGCGCTACTGCTACCCAAAGCTTAAGATGCTATCACTCGTACTGTCAACACTTAATATCAACTACCCCACACTAAATATGTTTTTCATCATCATTGATCCAATCAAAATTCAATAGACTTCAATCTACTTCAAAGTGGATCAAATCAAAGTCTTGAAGACAATGATGCATACTCAAACTAATTGAAAGCTTCATCACAAACAAATAATCAAGTTGTTTCACCTTATCCAACAAATATCAAGATTCATCCAACCAATCCCAATTTGGTATTTCAAATCAAGAAAAAATTGATGTCATCAATCAAATCAACAATTCACTGATCTTAATCAAAGTGAGCCCATGCTTTGATTGGCTTGCTTCTGTTAATCTTTGCATGAGTGATGTGAAATAAGATTGAATCCAGAAATTGAAAGAAGAAAAAGTTGAAGATGATATTTCAGTAATTGTGCATGTTGTCATGGAACTTTTGAATGGTATGGGCAAGATGAGTCTGAACTTATCTTATCAAACTGAGTTTGATTTTTGAATTTGGTGGTTGACTAATTGAAATTTACTTTAGCTTATTGTTTCTGATCTGATTATCAAGATTATAGCTTTTGGGTTTTTTCCCTCTGATAAGTATTTTCCACGTTTGTATCTTTTGTTTTACTTGAATGCCAATTCCAACAGTAAATATTTCTATATTTGCATTGTACTTCACAGGGGGAAAAATAGAAGCTCACATAGATGTGAGCAGAGAAAGTTTGGAGGTTTCTCCAAGATTGTTTCCAGTTTGTTTCCAATTTTCTTCCAATTTTCTTTCAGCTCATCATCTGATCAAATGGTCAGCATGGCCTGAGCAGATGAGTTAGGCCTTCCTCAGGCTTTATCCCTTGGCCAAGAAGCCTGAGGGAGGGCTAGCTCCTCTGCTCAGGTCATGTTGGGCCCTCCAATGCTCAGCCTGCACAGTCGCGGCAAGAGACCCTACCAAATGTGAAAAACACAATGGGAACCATCCCTTTGGATAATTCTGATCCCAGGAATGCCACTGATGATTAGGTGAGCAGCTGTGCTGAACTGAGCAGCCCCTCAGCCAATACTCAGTGACATCCTTTGGATACTTCTGATCCCAGGAATGCCACTGAGGACTAGGTGAGCAGC